GTAAAGTTTTGGGGCCGAAGCTATTGATACCCTAGCATATCGATCCGTTGTGCGTATATTTGATTCTGACTTTGGCTTAGATACTACGAGTGCGCATATAAAACCACAATTTGTTAGGTGCCGGGACCGCTTTATGTTCAAAGATTGGATTAAAATCGTAATACCCACTTAAAGGGTAAAGCAACAGACGGCGCGTGATCTATGCGATCAATGGTCAGTGGGGTAGTGACAGTGGGTGAGAAGGGGCGAGCGGTGAGGCAGGGGGACAACCTGGTACAGGGGGAACTGGCTGGTCAGCGACAAGTGACCTCATTTTTATTGGAACCTCTCTCGCGGCCTCTCTTGGTTGCGTGGCATGGCGTGTGTTGTACGTGTTGTTGTGCTGCGTGGTTGTTGCTATTGTTGTTGTTAGTGCTTGTTGTACGTTGTTCTACTTTGAAATTTCACTTTTCAAATGTGAGTTTTATAAGAGTGCTTGTATGCGAGTATGTGTGTGTTAGTGAGTATATTTATGCTGAAGAGCACTCAAAATAATTAATAGTACAATTTTGCTATGAGAGTTAAATTCAATGTTATTTCCTTGCAAGTTTGCGGCTTAAGTCATTCGAATGCAGCTGCAATTTGCATACAAAAAAAAAAACTAAAGCGGAAATATCACCCCAAGAGAGGAAGGAAGGAGCAGAAGAATTAAAAAAGTCACATTATGGGAAGCTAAATGATACTTACTTAAACACCAAGAAAAGACTCAAAAATATATCTCATGATATATTTATATTAATATCGCCAGTCCAGAAATGATCCATTTCTTGGAAGTATGGTTGATTTTTATCCGATTTATATCTAATCGTTAATATTCTAGCGAAAAATTTGCTGAACCAGGTCATTTTCAAGTAATATGTACGTTGGTGGTAGCCCCGGCGGGGGCCCCACGATGGCGCGGGGGTGGCGGGGGGGGGGGGGGGGGGGGGGGGGGGGGGCCCGGGGGGGGGGCGGGGGGGGGGGGGGGGGGGGGGGGGGGGCCCGGGGGGCCCCGGCGCCGGCGGGGCCGGGGGGGGCCGGGGGGGGGGGGCGGGCCCGGGGGGGCGCGGGGGCGGGGCCGGGGGGGGGACGCGGGGGGGGGGGCCGATGTATGTATGTAATTACTCATAGATTGGTAAAGAATAACTGTTTTTATAAGTTAAATATCAGTCCAGGTCCGACACCACCCACAGCTTCATCAGATCAAAAATAACTACTATTTGGACACTAGTTTGATCTTCCTCTAACCAAGATTATCTCCCATAGTGCAGACGTATACCTGCAGCTGTATGCTTTTAATGAATCCATCGAGTCAGTCAGTGGATTTTTAAGCAAATGTCATACCGGCTGCTCAACCCGAAAGAGCAACGGACAAAAGCAAGGCAACTTCAATGACGATTTAACCTCAAACTTCAAAGTGTCACTGTCATGGCCCTTTTTACTACTCTGCAGCCAAACAGCAAAAGCAGCAACAACAAAGTCGTAGTCGCCATAACCTGTTGGCAATTCAGTTTATGACTTTTTTGCCTGTCCCACGGTGGGCAAAATTCAACAAAACCGAACGACAAGCAGTAACGGCTGCACTTTTCAGCTTTCACCACGTCTGTGTTCCACTGTGCAGGCGCACGTATACGTATTGCCACCAAAAAGTGGGTCAACATGAAACAAGCCAGAAAAAAAGTGGAAAAAAGCAGCAGCAGCAGCAGCCGAGCCAGAGTCAGAAACAACTACAAAGCGGCAAAATCACGCTGACGAACGGCTCGTAGCGGCTGGGAGCAAGAGAGATGGCATGGCAGCAACAACTTACTTGTTGAATTGCCTTGTGCTTGGAGCGGGTTGTAGATTTATTTTTTGGGGGTTTGGCCTTTTTGGAATTTATGTAAAGTTTGCGACGCTGGAATGGAGCAAAGGTGGCGCAGGCGCCTGGGGTGTGTGAGTGGGTGTGAGCAGCAGCCAAAAGCCGGGTTTATGTGTGTAACTGTACATTTATGCAGCAAAAATTCAGCGGCTTGAAAAGTTTTTTAATGATTTACCCATTTTAAATGACCGCCAAACTATACAAAGCGCCATCTTTTGCGGAGGTGCGGTACCACATGGGTGTTTTTTGTTTGTTTGTTTGCAGTATTTTTACAATTCTAGAGATGGACCAAACAGCAAGGATCGATGTTCATATCTTTGGTTGGTAAACTAGTCTAGACTGGACGACTGCATTAAAGATGGAACAGCAAGAAGAATATAATTCACAAGAAGTATGAACTTGGTGTATACAAAGTGCCATACTAAACAAATAAGTCCTTTATAGCAGTCCATAAAACAAGCCAGATTGTAGAAAATTGATTCATCTATCTGATAAAATTATATTTTTAGTTGTTAAAGTCCTAACTAGCTAGTAATATTAAATCGAATATCAAAATTGATGAAAATGATTTTCCGCGGTATATCTACGGTATATTTTGATAATGACAGGGTCTATTTTGGTATATTTGAGGGTATTTTTTAGGATTTGTATGTATGTATGTGCGCTAAAGTTTAATGTGTTTCCACTTGTCTTCACAACTTTACCGCAAAGATTGCACGATACTGATGGCTTGTCCATTTTTGTATAAAACTTTTTTATCTTGTTACGTGGTCGACCTAAAAATATCGATTCTTGATATAAAAATATCATACCAATACTATCGTATCAAAAATAAAAATATCACCTATATCGATATATTGATATAATATCAACAGTCCGATATAAAAATAAAAACATTTTTATCTTTTCGGTCTAAATGTGCCCAAAATAAACGAATTCTATTTCTGATTGTCAGCCTAGGCAAATCCGACATTCGTCGTGGGGATATTTTGACGCAGCAAATGTGAACGCAAAGTGGCGGGCAGACAACAACAAAACGCACAAATCAAGGACCAGACCAGGAATTTCCATACTGTGACTCCAGTGGAAGCCAGCGACGCCATGAATGCTCTGCGGCAGTTCTATCTGGAGATCCCGGTCGTCACCAGGGCCTACACAACGGTCTGCGTGCTCACAACGCTGGCGGTGGTAAGTCGTTGTCCCGATTCAGGCCGTCGCCTCCAGTGGGGTGGGTGACGTGTACCCTCCAATCTGTTTTTTAACCTTTTTGTTGTTGCCGCTCCTCTCCTTCAGCATCTGGATCTGGTGTCGCCGCTACAGCTGTACTTTAATCCCACGCTGATTGTGCGCAAATTCCAAATTTGGCGACTTGCCACCACATTCCTGTACTTTGGAACCATCGGCATTACCTTCTTTTTCAATATGGTGTTCACATACCGCTACTGCCGAATGCTGGAGGACGGCTCCTTTCGCGGGCGCAGCTCGGACTTTGTCATGATGTTCATCTTTGGCGGCGTGCTGATGACGTTCTTTGGCATCTTTGTCAACCTGTTGTTCCTGGGCCAAGCCTTCACTCTGATGCTGGTGTATGTGTGGTCGCGACGCAATCCTTCGGTGCCCATGAACTTTTTCGGCGTGCTCAACTTTCAGGTGAGTCCGAGAGGTCTTTGAGAATATGCCGTCCATTGGTGTACTAATCCTCTGGGGATAGGCTCCCTATCTTCCCTGGGTTCTGCTCTGCTGCTCCATGATTCTGGGCAATACGGTTTGGGTGGACATCATTGGCATGGGCGTGGGCCACATCTACTATGTGCTGGAGGATGTATATCCAACACTCTCCAATGGATACAGACTGATCAAGACTCCATATTTTCTGTAAGTGCTAATCTACCTCACTACTACTTAACGTGTACTACTACTAAACGTGGATCCTTCGCTTTTAGAAAACGGCTTTTTAACGAGCACATTGAGCGCAACTACCAGGCAGCCGCACAGGATCGTCCCGGCGGTTTTCCATGGGGCGGCGAGGGTGGTGAGCCATTGCTAGTCCAGAACGGAGGGCAGCCGGAGCCGGCGGATCAGGAGCCACCGGCTGCAGCGGCGCCGCAATAACGAAACTGAATTGTTACAAAATTGTTTTCTATTCTAACGACGACAATGTTGTGTACCCCTCCGCCGCCACCCATTTGGTGCTTGGTATCATTAGGCGTATAGTATTGAGAGAGGCGTGCAATAGATAGCCAAAGTTAATTCAAAGTGTGGGCGTGTATATAATTTATTGGGTTATTTTCTGATGCAGAGTCCAATACACACGCCACTAAATGTAATTTAAATTTGACCCTAAGAGATGCATTCATGATAGATTGAACGTTACACTGCACATGTGATTATATATATACAGACATGCTACAAATAAACGAAATTGAAAGAGTAACATAACGCTTTAAAATCATGAACTCAACCCTCCTAACTTATTAATGCGCTCCTGTACTGCAGGGACGCCATCTAGCGTTTGTTTTTGGCCGATCAGCTGTTTTGCTTTGCTTTAATTTCAATTTGTATTTCACTTTCTGTTGACTTGACTGATATAAATTGTTTTATTTATAAAAAAAATGTCAAATCTTGTGATAAATCAACTGACGCATCCGCAGCGCGTTCGCTTGCTCTACAAAACCATTCTGCGACTGCATCGAGGTGAGTGAGTTCCACAAATGGCTTGCATATTGCTGAGCGCATAAATTTCATCCAGATTGGTGTTACTTCTAGGAATGCCCACAGAATTGCGTGCCCTCGGCGATGGCTATGTTCGGGACGAATTCAAGAGACATCTAAAGTGCAATCCCATGGAGTCACAGCTCTTTATGACAGAATGGGCCGTAAGTTTTACGTAATTACCAAGCGACGAGCATCGCAACTGACAATTCTTTACCCAGCGCTATGCCTCTACAATTACCAAGCAGCTGGGACTGCGGGGCAAGCCCAAGGGAGAGCTGGGAGAGGAAATGGATCCCAATGCAGTGGAAATGCTCAAAGATGACCAGGTGGTGCAGCTCTACGAGCTCATGCTAGCCGCCAAGGGACTGGAGGGCGATACAATCACGGCAGACGATGTGCGCGGCAGTAGTAAAAGCAAATAAATTGGTTTATTATTCTCGTTTTTCCAATACCTTGTACTCATACTTAATTCCGTTCTCTTCCTGCACGCCTAGGGGCGTGTCCGCGTCGGGCGACACCTCACGGAAGCCGTCGGGTATGCTAGGAAAGAAGGTGTCACACTCAAAGTTCTGCTGGATTTTGGTTATATAAAGGCGGTTGCAACGGGGCGAGGCCATGGCCTCCTCGTACACCCCACTACCGCCCACGATCCAGACGTTCTCAATTTGGTCGCGCAAGGTCTCTGCTTCCAGATGCTTCATGGCTTCCTCTAGGCTGGGGCACAATACCACATCACTCGGAAGCTCTGCTGGCTGCAGCGTGGTGCTCAACACAATGTTCAAACGCTCTGGCAGAGGACGCTTACTGGCGGGCACTCCGAAATATGTCTTTCTGCCCATGATTACCACATTGCGTTTGTTGGGATCGCTGGTCCGCTTGGTGGTGCGACTAAAGTACTTTAGCTCGGACCTGCAGTGGTAAGGTTAGGTTAGGTTCCCAGAGATATAAGCACACAGACAATATAATCACAAACTTACTTACTTTAAACGCCATGGCAGATCTCCCTTAAGGCCAATGCCAAAGTTCTCGCAAACCGCGACAATTAGATTAAAGCGCAACATCATTTTGCCTGTCATTTAGTGAATGTGGTATCCCATGCAGCTAAATCAGCGTAAAAATCGGAATCAAATTTAAAAAAAACAATGTGAACACCTGGTGTTCGCATTTTGGCGCCATTTTTTGCCGATATTCGATACTTTGCTCGTTTTATTATACCACTAACCATACAGTATATATGTAGATTTGCCAGTTCATACACCGAACGTGTCGAGCTGAGTTTTCTGTCCCAGGTCCCCAGGTCTTCGGCTGCTGGACCTGAGACGTTTTTCGACATGTTCAATTCATGACGAGATACGAAAGCAAGCCGAATAGGTCGATTTTGGTTTTAAAATTTAATTTATTTGTTTGTATTTACAGTGGGACCCAGCCGAAAAGAGGTGGCAAAATTAAAATATTTATTTAAAATAAATGTACACATCTAGTAGAACATTTTCCAGAGCTTTAGCGAATCTAATTTTCAAGATAATATACTGTATGGTTAGTGGTGCCGGTCAAGGCGCTCGAGCCGGTCAAGTCCCCTTTAATCGGCGATTCCGCTGAATGTTGGCGGCAATTGTGAAGGAAGAAGTCCGTAAGGAATCTTCTGCGGCTTGCAGAAGACTGTCAATCCGCTGCCGAAATGGAAGTGGAGACAGCTGCGCCTGCAGATCCAGCTCCAGTAGCTCGCTGCGGAAATTGCGCAAATGCCATGTAATAACCAATATTCGCAACATATTTTCATAATAAACAAATGTACTGTAAACGACTCACTCCAAGTTGAGCCGCACAGGTGCCGTGGTCGACACAGACTCGGACCTGGAGACCGTGCTCTCGGTAACGAAGACGGAGAAAGATAGCCTTCTCCGCTCCCCGGAACCAGGCTCCAGCTCCCTGCGTAGGGAAGGGCCGAAGCGTTCCAAGGAGGGGTTGAAGGCAAAGGCACAATACAAAGCGGCCCTCAAGATCCTGTGCCAGCTCCAGGGCAGGAACGACCTCTCTGAAGAGGAGAAGGCCAAACTGGCCTGGGCCGAGCAGAGGGTAGAAGAGGGACGGCTGCAGAGAGTGCCATCAAGGACACTCCGGTGAGCAAGCGGCAACGCAGGCCCAAGGTGGCAGGCTCCACACCAAGACAGGTGAAGAAATCCCAGCTGAAAGCGAAGGTCATTGATGTGACCAAACGACACTTAATCGTGGCACTCATTGATCGGAGCGACGGGAACGGAAAAATAACGGCGGCGCGGTGAAGACGGTGCACGCGCGGCTCGTGGATGCGCTGTTTACTCGAATGGAGGAGGACCCAACGGCCCCCATGCCCACGTTCGATGGTGCAGGGTGGCTGAACGGGGTCAATATACTTAAATGTATTGACGACCCCCCACTCAAGTGGCTGACGCAAACGGTCTGCCAATTGGAAGAGTTGTGGGAGGGGACCAAGCTGGAGGTGGTGGACATGGAGCTAATCCCGTCCATAGCAAAGGCAAAGGTACTCTTCCCCATCGCCATTCAAGGGGACCGTGCGCTGAAGCTACTACAGCGGCAGAACCCTGATGTGCCAACGGCGAACTGTAGGATACTGCACATCGGGAGCCCATTACCCAATGAGGGGGGCCAGAGTGCGATCATACTGATCAGCAAGGAGACAGAAGACCTGCTGTACCCAAGATACGGGAAGATGGCGTGGGGGATGGGCAGTGTTTACCTGCGGCTGAAAAAGCGCCACCCCGAAGATAAGGATGCACACTCTGCAGGCGGGCGAGGTGGAGAAGGACCTTGGTCTGGACACCAGATGTCGGGCCCGCCGACATAGCCTTAGTCCAGGAGCCATGGGTTGCATCAGGCAATGCTGTGGCCGGACTAAAGTCCTCAAATTTTCACGTGTTCTATCCACCATCGGTAAGCAGGAACAGAACCGCCGTACTCGTACGAAGGGGAATCCATGCTTATCTTATGTCTCATTACAGCACTGACGATCTGACCGTGGTGATGCTAGAAAGTAAGGAAAGGCGCCTGATGGTAGCATCCTGCTACATGGCACACGACAGGCCAGCTCCATCTGAAGAGTTGAGGCATCTAGTGGCAGAAGCCAGCCCGAAATACCAGCAACTTCTCGTCGGTACGGACGCAAACGCACATCACAACGTGTGGGGAAGGCCCGACATCAACGATAGAGGCGAGTCACTTCTAGACTTCATACTATTGACTAACCTAGATGTAGCAAACGTAGGAGAGGAATACACCTTCGTAGGTCCCACCTCTTCAAACGTGCTAGATTTAACACTCGTAACGGCAAAGAGTACTTTGGTATCTGGCTGGAGAGTCCTTGAAAGACCATCCTTCTCAGACCACAAGTACATTCAGTTCAAGTTCAAATTTAAACACTCTCCGAAGATAACTGTCTATAGAAACCCCCGGAACACAAACTGGGAAAAGTTTAAAAAGACAGTTACCTCGAAGCTCGCGACTCGTCCGGGCACAGTGAAATCCCCAGAAGAAATAGAATCGTCCCTAGAGACCCTCTCCAAGGAACTACTGGATGCGTACCACGCAGCATGCCCACCCTCGAGAACGAAAAAGAGAACCAAACCACTCTGGTGGAACCGGGACTTATCGCTTCAAAGAAACAACCTCAAAGAATTCTTCAAAATCGCCAAACTGGCGAACGATGTGATAATCAATGAGGAATACAATCAATCAACCTCTGGATAAAGAACCTTCTAAGTTGTAGGCGGCTGTATTCAGAGTGGGGCACCGCTTCCATGGTGAAAGGGGCACACAGAGGCACACCGCAGGGTGGGGTCCTCTCGCCCCTCCTGTGGAACCTGGTGGTCGACGACTTGGATTTGACTAGTTAGGCAGCAAATAGTTTTTAAAAAATTATGCGTTCGACATTCGATCAGCTGTGACCATTTAAAGTGAACATATGTTTTCGTAGGTACATCATCAAATTTTCCCGCTATTTTTTACACTCCAAAGTTGTTGCTTGCAAATACTTAAATTGATTGTTTTCATATTTGTTTTGGTTTCTATTGTTTTCAACATATTACTAATTAAAAAAATTAGCTGTTGCTTTGCGTATGTGCTGTATACCAAACGCGCGTAAATTGAGCACACCAACTTTGGCGTCTTTTTCGACATCGTGGACTGTAACTGCCAATCGACCGGATTCGACTCAATTTTTTTCTATTTATTAATGTGGCTAATTGCTTTTGTAAGTTTGAAATTTAGGCTGCAATACACGGCAAGTTTTTGACACAGCTATCTTTTAAGGCACGATGTCAGTTTGCAAGCGCACTCTTTTCTTGGTGTGGCTGGCGGAAGATGACTTCGAAAATTTTAGACAAAACCAAATATAATGAAAACGAGCTACAAGAAATCAAAAAACGTTTATGAAATTTTACCAGCAAACTGATGGAAAAATGGAAGAGGGCTTTTAGGGTCCGTGAGTGCTTTGAGAAACAAAGTAAAGAATGGTTGGATGGGATGCTCTTCCTTGCAGAGATAAAAGATCAAACTCTAACAGGACGACCTGTTAAAGACTTCGGTGAATGCCACACAAAAAATAAGACGCTTAAAGTATCAGAGATATTTGAAAATAGTACATGCGGACAGCTTATGGCGGCAGCACGAGTCAGTTTGTATAAGGCTTGAAAACGAAGAGCTTCTCAAGTGCTGTCCATGCTGGATACTGATTCAAAAAAAGTTAAGAAATGCGTTGAATCAAGCACTCAACTTCCAATTAAATATACTCCAGTTGAAGCGTTAGCACTATACATTGATGGAGGTCTCACGAAAAACTCGTACAAGCATATGCAAGCTGGCACAAAAAAGCGGAAAGCCAACGTCTTTCCGAGCTATTAAGCGATCCGATCTGCAAAAACACGTTGCTATCCTGATATTGTCGAAATAACAGAATGTTCTGCTGAAGTACCTTTGCAAGAGTTACTGCATCATACAATTATGAGGATTGTCGAAGGAAACGAGAATGCATTTATTGTAGAAAAAGAAAATTATGAAACGCTTTCTGCAATTTATAAATGGGGATGTGACGGCAACAGCGGGCATTCAAGCTATCGGCAAAACTATAGCAGCCTCGAAAATAAAATTTTCGATGAAAACTTGTTTGCTATCTGCATTGTACCTCTGCAGGTACAGCGAGGTACTTCAATAATTTGGAAAAATGAACGCCCTTCTTCGACTCGTTATTGCAAGCCAATAAAAATAATTTTTGAAAAGGAGACTGCAGACTTAATTTGTAAAGAGGTGGAAAATATGAAGACCCAAATATCCAATCTAACGCCAACATCACTTTCTTATTTTCAAGTTGAGCATAATTTGCAAATGACTATGATTGATGGCAAAACCTTTAGCGTTATTGCAGAAACATTAGCACAAACATGCGGAATTTGTAAAGCATCGCCCAAAGACAAGAACAATTTAAGACTGATTAAAAACCTCTCCACAAATGAAACCTTGTATAAGTTTGGTTAGTCAACTTTACAAGCTTGGATTCGATGCTTTGAGTGCATGATTCATATTGCTTATCGACTTCCTATCAAAAAGTGGCAGGTTCGTGGTTCCGACAAAGAAATTGTCAATAGACACAAAAGCGAAATCCTTAGTAAGTTTAGAGCTGAAATGGCATTATTATTGGATATTCCGATGCCTGGTTCCAGGAATACAAATAATGGAAACACCGCTAGACGTTTTTTTTGAAAATCCAAAAATGTCAGCTAGAATAACAGGCGTAAGTGAAGACCTTATTCACAGACTTGGAGTTATCCTACGTGCTATGGTTTCTGGGCGTGAAGTAGACCCGAATGCCTTTCGAGTCTATGCTTACAAAACTGCAGACATTTTTGTAAAAGAATATCCGTGGTTTTATATGCCTTCTTCGCTTCACAAAATTTTAATGCATGGTGCCGATATAATATCTGCTGATGTCGGAAGAGGCGCTAGTAGCGAGAAACAAAGACTTTCGAAATATAAGACTGAATCACACGCGTAAAACTTCACGTACAAACACTATGCAGGATTTAATGCATGCACTGTTGTATTCATCCAATCCATTAATTAGCTCGTTGTCAGAACGTGAATCGCGTTTAAAAAACAAACATATTAAATTAGATGTGGAGGTAAAGAATTTACTTCTGAGTCTGGACTCGAAAGCTTCCAGTTCTGAGGAAAGTAGTAGTTCAGACTCAGAATAATGCAAATAATGAGGAGCGTTGTTGTTTTTTTTCAATTCAAATTTTGTTTTTTCTATCAACAAACTATAATAAAATATATTCAAAATATTTTATTTAATTTTTCTTAAAAATAAAAAATAAACATAAAATAAATTTTTTTTTTTTAAATGCCCTAAATTATTATTATTACAAGAAAAAAATTTGGCTGTTTTGCCCAGTGTGCGGTGGTGCGACCGACTCTGCTGTATGGAGTCTTAGTGTGGTGGCAAGCGATAGAAAAGACGACGTACAATTAGCTTATGGAAAGGACTTTTCTCGCCAGCTCCCTTCTTTTTTCATTTGAAATAAAAACTTATAAATTTTATGTTTGTTTGATTAATTTTTATGTTTATCGGTGGCTATTCTATTTTTTATCCATATCGGATCATTATTATAGCCAGTTTCTAGCCCCACTCCCTTGCAGCCGCTGCTTATTCTCTCTCTCTCTCTGTCTCTGTATGCGCCCTCTGTCAGAGGTTTAAGAATAGAGTTTTTAATGTAGATGCCAGATGTAGGGAACAAATTTAAACAGATCAAATATTTATATACTGACTGAGTACGGGTATAAAAGTCGAGTCGCGGCAATAGAAGCGAATCAACGTTCCCACTCGCTTTATTTTAAAAATTTGTACATATTTGGTGTGAGCTCTCTTACAAAGCGAGCAGAGGGTGATATGAATACCATTAGATATTGGTCAAATGATGGTGCTACAATATTACTCTGGTCCTTCCAGCAGCCAAAAAGTTTCCATCTCACCCTTTCCCTTCACCGTGACAAAGCCACGCAGCTCCAACTTGTAGCCGACCTTGCGCACCTTTGTGGCTGTGTAGTTGGAGAGTTGAATCTTCCAGGGATCGCTGCTGCTCTCCATGCGAGAGGCGGTGTTGACCGTGTCCCCGAACAGGCAATATCGGGGCACCTTTTGGCCAACGACTCCGGCCACCACGGGCCCCGAGTTGATGCCCACGCGGATGGACACGCCTGGCAGTGCATGAGCCTTAACCTTCTTCATCACGCGCAGGGCCAGATCACATGCGTGCTCCGCATGCAAAGGATTGACATCTGGTGCTCCGGACACAGCCATGTAGACCATGCCCACGGTCTCCACTTTGTAGACAAACGGGGAAATGATTTCCTCATCGAGAGCCGAGAAGACCTTGTTCAATGTGGTGACAGCTTGCATAGCGTCTTGGATGTTGTTCGAACCGCTGTCGTAGACATTCATGACCTCGATGAAGAGGACCGAGACCTCCTCGAAGCTCTGGCAGACATGCTCCTCACTCTTCCTCATACGCTCGGCAATGGGACGAGGGATCATGGAGTAGAGGAGGTCATCGCCCTGACGTTTCCAAGAGTCAGCCAGCTCCAGCGACTTCTCCAGTTCGTCGGACCGCTGCTCCTCCTTTTCGAATAAGATCTCCAGCTTGGAGCAGTGCTGCCAGCCAGCCATGACCAGCTCCCTGCTCAAGCCGTGCGGATTGAGATCGTTCAGGTACAGACCAATACCGTGCAGTTCATCCAGATTCTCGATCAATGGACTGCACAGGAATATCAGCGAGTCCACATCCTTGATGTAGAACATCTGACCCTTGAGCAGAATGGATCGGAGTCCCACTGAGGGACGACGCTGTCCCGTTGCAGGGTCGATTTCATCCTTCGTGGCGGCAGCAGCAGCCTCGTCCTCCTTGGCGTGCTCCACACTGAACTCCTGGGCACTGGCCAGGGCCATGGTCTGGGCCTCGTTGAGACTTGCATCGTCGAAGGTGTCGTAGTCAATGTTTAGGGCTGCGTCGTATGCGGCGCGATTGTGACCCGTGCGGATGAGCTCAAACTCGAAGAGAACCGTTCGCATCTGGAGAATTGTCTCCCATTCGATCTTGGTGTCCTTGGGCCGCCGGCACTTGAACAAATCCATGACATGACTGCCAATGAAGTTCTTCGGATTCACCCCCGGATTGTGCAGTATCCACGTTTCGATAATCTTCTCGCCAGCGAGAGTTATCTTCATGTCGTGGTTCAGCACAATCGTGAAGGGGAACAGCTCCAGGAACACGTTCAGGTCCACCGATGGCATCTTTAGCTGCGACGGATGGGCAACGACGTTCACCCTCTTGGCCATATAGTCGCGATTGTCAAAGTCCAGGCGGTACTTGACTATCACCGTCATCGGACCCTCCGACAGCTTGATGGGACCCGCTGTTCCGCCGCAAATGTCGTTCTGGCTCTCCAGAACATACGCCGTCATGTCCAGGCCATAGAACTCTTTAGCCACCTCTGTCATCTGTCCAATGAGGTACTTGGACATGCCCGTTCGCCCACTGCGATAGAGGATGACAGCTCCATTGTCATCCATGTTGGTCAGCTGCATGCTCGGGGACTTCATCTTGGGATAGGTGAACCGCATCTGGAGATGAATGTTGTCGATGGACTGCAGGAAGTCGCAGAAATATCGACCCGTGGAGCGAATCATCTTGTCGTAGCCAAAGTTGGTGAAGAACCTCACGAAGCATTTCCCAAAGAAGTTCATGCAGAAGTCGAAGGACTCGCCGCTGCAGGCGGAGAGGGCGGCGGCAAAGTCCGGCATCATCTTGTCCGGATAGATCTGGTGGGTCTTGAAGCTGTTGTGCTTGCAGTCGATTATCTGGCATATCTTTTTCCACGTCTCCATCCCATACTCCTTCTGGATGTAGTGCTGCACGCTCTCGTACAGCATCCCATACATGATGGCGGCTGTTTGCTCCTGGTCGCTTCTTGGAGATGGTCAGTGGGGGTTCTGTTGGGGTCCCTCCTCGGGGATGGTCAGTTGGGGGTGGTCTGTCTGTCGCAAAAATTGCCTGTGCAAAAAGTTTCTCTGCAACGAGAAAAAGTTGGGAGCCACATAATTAGGATAACAAAGTTTTTCCATTATTCACTGCTAGTAATTAGGTGAAGTCTGCCCCCAGGATATGAGAAAGTGTGTCGGGTCGGGAATTAGCTAACGAATATTAAGCTCGAGTGATTGATGAGAGATTAAATAGGAGTCCGCCTATCCCATAAGCCATCAAATAAAATCATCAGGCGTTAAATTGACTTGGATTTTAAAGTACATAAAGTAACATATTCCAGGAAAATAAATAATTGCAGCCATCGCCTATCTACTCCTCAACAGGCCCTAGGGAAAGTTAATCCTGCGTTCCCTTTCCTCTTCTTTGTCTTTTGATTTATTGCCTCTAAAGTTCGGCTCCATGTGCCAGGACCAGGCACGCGCCTCCGCAGAGACTTTAACTCATGTTCCGCAGTGCTTGTCACGTCCTTGACAGAACTCGTTGTCTCCTTGACTTATTTCCGTTGGCTTTTTGTTGCCGTTAATTCGCCATGTTGCGGTGACTTTTTTTTTCAAATTTCCCGCCCCAAATTCCCCCCGGCAAGTCGAAGGTTAACCCAACTTACTGTTGGGCCATAAATTTTCAAACATCTTCGGGGAGTTTGTGTATTCAATTGTGACCAAAACATGCAAATTTTTCTTGGGGCAAGAGTCGTAAAAATTCTTTGGTGTCTAGTTGAAAGTAGAAAGGAAAATGGTGGCGTTTGATTAATGTTTGAGGATGTTAACTGTCAAATAAAAATATATTAAAACGGAAGCATCCCTTTGCTCCTCTCTTGTTCATAATTTACTTATAAATAAGCAAAAGCCCGGGTTGTATCATTGATTCAAATCTTCTGTACTCGAAAAGAAAAATGATCATTGGTCTTACAACCCCAGTACAAATTTGTTCCATTTGCCTCCTCTTAGCTGACTTCTATGATTTTTCAATGAGCCTCATACAAAATGATTTATATTATTAAAAAATTTAGAAGTGATAAACTAACTTCGTGTCATCATTATTTTCACTTCCATAACAAAATTTTCATTCATATTTTAGTGTCAATCATTCATAATGAAAGATGTTTTGTCGTCTACTCAGTGGCTTCTACTTATAATTTGTTTAAATCAATTTATTGCGGTTTAAGCATTACAACTCTAAGCTGATTCATACAATAATAAATAATAATAAATAATTACGTTAATCTGTCACCAAGTAAAATATTTTTTTGAAAATATAGGACAAAAATAAATTAAACTGAATATTAAAAGGAACAAATTAGGATGATCTATCAATTTATATTTAACGATCTATGTAAAATATGGCTTCCCACTCTTTGCTCTGCTTGGAAATGGGAAAACCAATGAAAAATTAATTCCCACTCAAACATAGTTGAATTCTCTGATGAAACCCTCCCAAAAGTTGGCTGTGAAATTAGCATATTGTATCACTGCTAATCCGGCTTACTTTAGATTGCCTTTTCGCCTTTTACAGATGATTAAATCGCCATCAGATATTCCAAATACTTATTCAACTTTTGTTTCGCACTTATACTGGTACGAGTATATCTGAAGTTTTAATTTTATCCACGCGGCATTTGCTTTTCGCTTATTTATAATTCAGGGGAACCTGCCCGAACACTCGCACAAGCACTTTTGGGGCATATGCTGCTCACACACAGCCGCCTTCTCCTCGCGGACACGTTAACACTCGATATATATACAAATATATATACATATATATACAAATATGTATATATTTTATTTTTGTGGAGCTCTTTCTCTCTCCCTGTCTCTGGGTCCGTGTTCCGTCGTCGTCTGTTGCTATTGTTACACTAAATTTGTTGGCCCGCCTGTCGCTGCTTCTTTGGCTTTTTCCGGTGTGATTTGCTCCATGATTTCCTCTGAGGGAACTTCGTGAGTCTGGGCCGGAGTCGATGTTGATGGCGGAGTCGTCGGTTCGGTCGTGCGAAGCTTTTCCCTTAGCCGGCAATCAGACTGGTGGTCGTCGTACGAATGGAGCGTGTATCGTTGGCTCTCTGCCCTTTTATAGTAGCCCCCGCAGCCAGATTCCTGTTGGATGGATGTTTCCAACCCACTTACGACCTCCGTGCTGGCGCCTCGACACGCACTTCTCTGTTTGACCATCATCATCATCATCATCATCATCATTATGGACATCGCCAGTCAATGCTCTTTGGCTTCGGTCCTCTGGGTCTCTGGGTCCTCCGTCCCATGTCAATTGCCACTTTCTCTCTTTCTCGATAAAGTATCAACATTGACACACTGCCAAAGGAGTCATTTTTCTCTCTGTTCATTTCTTTTATGATACACACACAATACGCACCGAATACGTGCTTGCGTTCTTGGACTCGGACTGTTTCCTTTACGTTACACTTAAAATATTGTCTCAGGGATGGGTAATACTCGTATGTTTATCATTTGGTTTTATTTTTTTAGGAGGAGAGATTACATATCCCATTCTGAATAAACTTTGATATGGAGTTTGTGGCTGCTTGTTATAGAATGGAGTTTGTGGCTGCTTGTTATAGAAACACATGAACAGATTCTTAATACACAAGATAAAATAAAGTGTTGTATTTTTGTGTTCTTTAATCAAACATAACTGATATGATTATCATAATTTTTAACACTTAATGAATGTGTTTTGTGGATACGTTTATTAAACCCGAACGCTTGTAGGAATATTCTTCACAATCATCCAGCCCTGGGAGTCTTCGCTTTTAACTGCTCGTCAAATGTATCATTGTCGTAGCCTTTCGCTTTCGCTTTTGCCTTGGCATTTTCCCTGGTTCTCTTAGTGGGTGGATGGGTGGATGGATGGATGGGTGACTGTGGGGCTGGGGCTACGCTACTGTTCTTAATGTCATTCCATTTTCACGCATACTTTCGCAGTAAATACCTACATATGTGTGTGTGTGAATAAGAGAGTCCTGGCTACATATTTGATGTTGTTTTTTAAAGCAATTTAAAGGGGATTTCGGCTCCCCCACAGCCTCACAGCATCCCAACCGAACCGAACCTTCGTCCTACTTAACTTAACCGAAACGGATGTCCGGGAGAGCTTTTTAAATAGGCGATGACAATTTTATAGGCAGCGCATGAATTGCCAAAAGTGAAGATAATGTGCGAGGACATGGGCCATCGGGCATCTCTGCTGGATGTCAAGCCCCGGACACGAAACGGATGTTTTGAAAATGATTAAAACCTACTTAAAATGACATTAATAACGCACAGGAAAGGGGCGATTACAATGAGAAATTGAGCTAAAACAAAATACGAGAAGGACATCAAGTTTTGTCCTTTCATTTGCCCAAAATAAAAAACTTAATTAGTCCTGTGTGTGGGGGTGGCCATTGGTCATTGTCATTATTGGTCTAGAATTAATTGGCAAGCGTCCCGACACTTGAGCTTAGCTCCTCTGCGGTACACGCAAAATGGCTTAATTTCAATTTCGGTAAGAAGAGCAGGGGAACGCAACTCCAGAAGGCATGCACGTGAACACACTTAGAGAAAATACTCAGTACTATATAAGTCTATAGGTGGAAAAGTTATTGAAAGAAGAAGTAGCTGAAATACTTACGATTCCGATGGTCATTTCACCTGAAAATTCAATTCATGTCTCGCTGTCTGCTCGTCTTGATTAGCTCTCAAAGACCATTGGAGCTAGAGTAACACGATTTTATGTGCAGACTGTGTCAAGTGTATTTCAAATCTTTGCCAAGCCCCCATGTCGCAACAACAGCGCAAATGCAGAATCATAAAGAATGATTCATGAAAATGATTGATCGGATCATTATTATTCGCTCTCACATCGAATGCAAATGCTAGAATAAACCTCCTAAAACTAAGTGTATTTTTGTTCTTTTTTAGAAGGAGTTCTACTTCCTCGAAGTAAATTCTATTGATGCCAGTGGACAATGGCAGTGGCTTTATTTCCTGATCTTTTATACTGCTACTATTACTCTCATAAATATCTCTCTTAGGGTCTGCCTGCCTTTGATATCAAAACTTGTTTTCTCAGTGCAGAGCCCAATCCACTTGCGACTTACATGGGCTTATGATTGCCTGCGTGGATAGCTATCAGCTTTGGATGGTGTGCCAAACGACACGCAATCCCTCCATAAAAGTTATTAAAATAGGATATTCGGAAATGGAAGTTGTCTGGGGGGAATGGACTAGATACGAGACCCTCATCAGTTGGATGTTCGAGCAAAAGAAAAACGTTTGTTAGCTTAATTCCCATTTACGAGAGTCCTAAAACTAGGGGTTGTGACCTCAGATGCGATATCTGAAAGACCTAGAACCCAGAGACTTCCAATTAAACTCAAAGTGAAAGGAGGAATTCTCTTTTATTGCAAATATGCGTAGTTCCAAAAGCCTCAAGTGGGGTACAATATTTTAGGTGCAGGTGTTTTACGTTGAATCTCCATTCAGTCCTTTAACCCACTGGTCCCTCAAGCAGCCAACAGGTTTCCATTTCGCCCTTACCCTTGACCTGGACAGTGCCGCGGGACTCGACCTTATAGCCAATATCGCGCACCTTATCTGCCGTGTATTTGGAGAGCTGAATTTTCCAGGGATCGCTGCTGCTCTCCATGCGAGAGGCGGTGTTGACCGTGTCCCCGAACAGGCAATATCGGGGCACCTTTTGGCCAACGACTCCGGCCACCACGGGCCCCGAGTTGATGCCCACGCGAATGGCCACATCGCCCATATCCTTGGGATCGAACTTCTTCATCACGCGCAGGGCCAGATCACATGCGTGCTCCGCATGCAAAGGATTGACATCCGGTGCTCCGGACACAGCCATGTAGACCATGCCCACGGTCTCCACTTTGTAGACGAACGGGGAAATAATCTCCTCATCGAGAGCCGAGAAGACCTTGTTCAGCGTGTTCACTGCCATCATGGCTCCCTGAATGCTGTTCAAGCCGCCGTCGTAGACATTCAGGACCTCGATGAAGATGACGGAGACCTCCTCGAAGCTCTGACAGACCTGCTCCTGGCTGTTCCTCATTCGCTCGGCAATGGGACGAGGGATCATGGAGTAGAGGAGGTCATCGCCCTGACGTTTCCAGGAGTCGGCCAGCTCCAGGGACTTCTCCAGTTCGTCGGACCGCTGCTCCTCCTTCTCGAACATGATCTCCAGCTTGGAGCAGTGCTGCCAGCCAGCCATGACCAGCTCCCTGCTCAAGCCGTGCGGATTGAGATCGTTCAGGTACAGACCAATGGCGTGCAGTTCATCCAGATTCTCAATCAACGGGCTGCAGAGGAATATCAGCGAGTCCACATCCTTGATGTAGAACATCTGACCCTTGAGCAGAATGGATCTGAGGCCCTGGGAGGAGCGACGTTCTCCCGTGGCCGGATCGATTTCGTTCTCATTGGCGGCAAGCTCCGCATCGGCAGGATGTGCGTCATTGAACTCCTTGGCCTTAGTGATGGCCATGGTCTGGGCCTCGTTCAGATCCATTTCGTCGTAGTTCTCAAAGTCCATGTTCAGGGCTGCGTCGTAGGCATCCCGATTATGTCCCGTGCGGATCAGCTCGAACTCGAAGAGAACCGCCCGCATCTGGATCAGTGTCTCCCAATCGATCTTGGTTTCCTTGGGGCGTCGACAGTGGAACAGGTCCATCACGCCAGTGCCGATGAAGCCCTTGGGATTGACCCCAGGATTGTGCATTATCCAAGTCTCCACAATCTTCTCCCCGGCATGCGTAATCTTCATGTCGTGGTTCAGCACAAAGGTGAAGGGGAACAGGTCCAGGAACACGTCCAATTTCACCGTGGGCATCTTTAGCTGCGAGGGATGCGTCACCGTGTTCACACGCTTGGCCATATACTCGGAGTTGTCGAAGTCCAGGCGATACTTCACGACGACAGTGAGCGGACCCTCCGTCATCTTGATGGGGCCCGCCGTCCCACCGCTGATGTCGTTTTGGCTCTCGACTACATATGCCTTGATCGGCAGGTCATAAAATTCCTGCGCCACCTCCGTCATCTGCCCAATGAGGTACTTGGACATGCCCGTTCGGCTGCTCCGGTAGAGGATGACGGCCCCCTTGTCGTCCATGCTGGTCAGCTGCATGCTCGGCGACTTCATCTTGGGATAGGTGAACCGCATGATCAGGTGAATGTTGTCGATGGACTGCAGAAAGTCGCAGAAATATCGGCCCGTCGAGCGAATCATCTTGTCGTAGCCAAAGTTGCTGAAGAACCTCACGAAGCATTTCCCAAAGAAGTTCATACAGTAGTCGAAGGACTCGCCCGTGCAGGCGGACAGGGCCGCCGCTATATCCGGCATCAGTTTGTCCGGATAGATCTGGTGGGTCTTGAAGCTGTTGTGCTTGCAGTCGATGATGTGACAGACCTTCTTCCAAACGTATACGCCGTACTCCTCCTGCACATAGTGCTGGACACTCTCATAGAGCATGCCATACATAATTGGGACTGTTGGAGAATCTGCAATGGGAAATGGGAACATAATAGATTCTCCTTTCATCATATTTAAGATACAGATGAATATTTTGGTAACGTATCAGTGGACTGGATCCGGGGTATGTATAGCATTTATTCCTTACCTTGTTCAACAGGTCCGTTACAACTTCTACGCTACACTTTAAAACTGCCTACAAGTTATTTATTAAACGTTGCCTTGTTTCTTTTTTGTTTCCGTTTTAGTGGGCAATTTTCTCTGGCAGCATCTGAGACTTATTTAGTTTCTAATTTCAAGGAAATTCAATTTATGAACACACACGCGCCCCAACCAGGCTGCACTTTACACACGAACACACACGCAATCCCGCAGACACGACAATTTTTCCATTATATTCGTACATACATATATTCTTTAGACGCGTCGCTCGTCCTTTTGCTTTTTCCGCTGTGACTTTAATTCCGTGGTTCTGCTCCACTGATGCTACACTGCTACACTGTGTGGATGCTGTCGTGTGTGGGTGCAGTGGGATGATTTGGCTTAGGACTTTGGACCTTGTGGATGGTATTCTGCTGCTGTGCTGTATTAAAGCTTCCCCGCTGGCACTGTGTGTGCGAATGAAACGTCTACCGTTGGGTTCCAGCACTTTTATAGTCGACCAGCACTCAGCCCACACTCTAACTCTACCCCACTTAGTTGTCCCCTCTTTGGACGCACTAACTCCCTCTCAGTACCCCCCCATCTAGTCGGGCAGTATTACATTTCATGTCATTGCTCCTTGTTGATGCCAATTGACGGTCGCATTTCGATAAAGTATCAAAAAATGAAGTATTTTCCCCTAGTTTATGGCTTTTATAACAATAATTCACACGCACAAAGCGCATTCCACCCACATTTTGTGTTTGAGAATCAAGTTCGGAATGGTTCGGAGGGGTTTCCTTGTAGGTAAATCTTTATAAAAGACTATTTCTGTGTCCTCCTGTTTGCGATGTAATTTTCCTTGGAATTTGTTTGCTTTTGATGACGGATTATTTGGTTTGTCTGACGCCACAATTTACATTTGCTTTTATGACATTTTTAAGAGGATTTAAAAATTCCCCCACATAAATTCGTTTGCATTGTTTATCGTTGTACTTGGGCTAAAGGGATTTTCGGGGGTATAGCAAACACACAAAAACACCTACACATGCACACAAATATTTAACATTTTAATGGTGCGACGCCAGGATAGTTAAAGTGATGATAACACGGTTAAATATGGTTGATGAGAGAGAGAGAGAGAGAGGGAAAATACAGTGGTCTCGCGGGGGGATATACTTATATATATATATATATATATGTGTGCTATACCAGAAAAACAGTTTTCCCTAAATACAAAAATTATATATGTTCTTTGACTACAAATGAAACAGTCTAGGCTTTGGGGTCCAATATTGCCGATCTTGAAATAAAAAAAAACAGTTGGACTCGAAATTCAAACTAGACTAATCAGTCATGCTCTTTGATGGTTTCCTTCCTATCCAAATAATACAACCTAGTGTTTATTCTCTCGAGCGTTCACTGTAGTAAGGAGCTTGGCATTTGCATTGCCGACATCTGGTGCTGGGGGATGGTATGCCAGGGCCCCCTGGCTATAAACGTGACAACGTATTTAATTAGCGACTAAGCTATCTCTCTAGTCAACGAAATTGATTGGGCCACGTGCAGGGAGTGCGTTGACACCTCACTTGTGGCCTATGCTGTCGGTATGCAGTGGCTCTCCAGCAGGCAGCCCCGACACTGGACAGACACGCAATCGGAGAATAAAAGTTATAAAATACGCCTAACGATATACATAAAAGATGAAACCAATTGATTGATGAGTAGACAATGCCATTGCTGCTGCTGTCCAAAATACATTTTAAGCGTTTCTAAACCGTATCTTCCAGTGTTCAGCATTCAAACCGCTCTTGCTTTTAGAAAATCCACTCGGTGTATTTTGAAATCATAGTATCAAATAGTAGTATAGTATCGCATTTTACATATAATAATCTAATGCAGGAGAGGCCTATTTGCCCAGGCCAACCTTATTGAAGAGCTTGTCCTTGACTATCTGGGCCATCAGGCCGTGTATCAACTCAATTGTGGAGCGGCTGCAGTCGCGCGTAGCTTTGGATAGCTTGTCCTCGGAGCGTTTCTCGTTGACATCGGTGCCTGTAAAACAAGAAGCTGGCAATTAGAAGGGTCAAGACTCGCTTTGTGTTCGACATTTACCGCGACCCAGAAAATTTTCACTCTGCTCCAGCTTCTCGGACAAATCCATGATCTGGCCAGTGGTGTATTCCGTGTTGGTCAGCAGACCAGAGCTGCCCAGGGTGTTCACCCAGTACTTGTTCCACAAGGAGTCGAGCAATTTGCGGTCCAGAGCCGACTTGAAGTAGCTAATCTCCAGCGGATAGTACTGCTTGCAGTGCACACCGAAATCCTCAATCTTGTTCAATGGTATGGTCTGATACTCGGATGGCTCCTCATTTGGTGGCTTATATCCCTTTGGATAGGTGCGGAAGGCGCCCAGACAGACCTTGCCAGCGGAGACAGTGCGCACAGGATCGACCACAATGGCCACGAACGGCTCCTGGTAGGTCTGGTTGAGCATCTGTGTGGAGACATCGATGCCAGACAGCCAGCAGCCGTATCCCGGGTGGCTGTGGTACCAGCCAACGGCATGCTCCATGCGTCCCACCTCCTTGGCGGCCTCCATGTAGGCAGTCATGTACTCATAGGCCTGAGCCTGGGCATTCACGCGTGTCTCAGTGCCCTCCACCGGCAATGCAAACGCGTCCATCACAATCTGCCGGCAAATGAGACTTCAGGGTGTGAGCTTCTTTGTTTCTATTTATATGTTTGTCTACTCACCATTGTGTTGTCCTCAATCTTGCCCAGCATTAGGCCCATAACTTCGAGTGTGCCCCCGGAGCGGGCGTGCATGACTATCTTCAGCAGCGCCAGAGCTGAAATCTTTATGTCCTTAAAGAAATGTGGATCTTTTTCCCACGGCTTGGCATCGATAATTTGACGCTGCTGTTCGGCATCATAGCGAAAGATTTCATCACAGCTGGGCAGTGTCTGTATGTTGTTCTCCAGTTCCCAAGTCTTTTGTGCAGCGTCGACATCCATTTTGAACGTAGATTTTCTAATATTTTCTGTAAATGTTAAATTCCGGCTCTCTGATGATATTCGCTGAATTTCCCAGCACTAATTCTGTATCGATACTTGGTATCAGTTATTAGTGTGACCAGCTCAGCATTACCACATTATAAAGCCTAGTACTCAGACGCGCTATATTTTCTGTGGTCCGAATCAGAGATTATATTCGTATGGAATAAAAATGCATGATTTCGCCAGAAGAGGTACAATGATATGTTTGATTTATATTCATACATACTCGTATTAATGAACATAGTAAATTATAATTTTCCATCTTATAGCTGCCTTAATTAGATTTTGTTTTTCTTCATTATTATATCATAAAATTTGGTTCGTTGCTTTCCATTTTGAAAGCCTAGTACTCGATGCAAAAATTTTTTTGTCAGCAAACAAATGTCATATATTCTTCGAGCGGCCAGTGTGTGACCAGAGGTGTGCACTGCATTCCGAACGGTTACACTGCTCAGACCATTTCTTGGTTTTTTGTTTAAAATACTTCTGGCTGGGGCCCTCTTCCTGGGCTTGCTCTCCAATATTGTATTGGCAAGGTAATGTGTCTGACTATCAGCAGCAGCAGATGGCGACGCCTACCGTGCCGACCACCGTGAAGACAAAATGTTTTAAAAACAATATTTGTTTTGTATATATGAAAATTAGTAAAAAATAATAAATTATAATACCCATATAATTTTCATTCATATAATAATGCATTAATTAGATTCTATTTGTCTTCATTACTTAAATATTTCATATGGTTTTTTGCTCTCATATTGCAATGTTTGCTTCGTGTTTGCTGGCAAAATATATCAAATTGATATAAATTTCGAGGTGGGACGAAAAAACAAACATAACCAAAAAAACAAGCAAATCTTTGAAATATTTTCTGTTTCTTGCCCCCTTTTGTTTTCGGAAAATAAGATCTGAGTACTGCCTTCCGTACAGAGCCTAGAAAACAGTTTTTGCCGTACAAAATTTCTTATCGGTTTCATACGAATATCAACCCTGATTCTGTTCGCGAGGTGTTTTTTCGATCAGAGTACTAGGCTAAAACTTTTACGTGTTTGTGTTTGTTAGGGTACCGTACCTAGCGGAAAAAGAACACTTATATATTTTTTGAGCGGCTTTTAAAATACCAACGAACCAACAAATACTATCGGCTGCTTTTTTAGTATCTATCGGCATTTTTTGCCTTGAACTGAGGACTGCCTGACGAACTGACCGTAGCAAACAGTTTGCGCTCGAACAAATTTCTTATGGTGCTATGACATTAGACTTTGCTAACTGACTAGCTGGGTAAAATAGGGATGTATATGCGTCAAGCTAGCTTTCCAGTTGAGCTGGGAGCAGCTGGCTTGGTATCAATTAGTGCCTCAGTTGTTCGACTGAAAGCCATTATACGTGTCTAGAGACGGCTACGAAAAATAATGTTGCATGTTTTTATCTCATGCTATCCCACTCTACGCAGAAAAATTGGCAAACGTCTAATGTCATAACAATATTATTGGTTTCATACGAATATCAACTCTGATTTTGCTAGCGTGCAGTTTTTCGGAACTCGACTCAAGGCCGATTTAATAATTGAATTATGTGCTATGTGTAATTGTGGAGAAAAAGCGAATCGCAACAAGATTAAACGCGCTGAGCTAGTGATAAAAACTGAAAACATGTGTCATTTAAATTTGAGCAAGTTGGCAGCCCCAAGATACTCAATTTCGAACTTAACGGACCATCTCTAATTTTAGACGCATCGCACTTGCGCGTCCATTGCAAAAAAAAAATTCCTGCACAGAGTTTTACATGTTTGATACATCAGATATTAAATATCGTAATGCAGGGGGAACCATCATAGTTGTGTGAAAAGTGTACCATTTATTGGTGAACAATTACTCGTTCGCGACTCGTTTAAGTCTCGCTGGTCTCATCCGCCGTGCGGCATCTTTTCGTTTCGTGTTTTTTTTTGCACCCAAGCCAAAGTTGCGCCACTCATACTCCCCTCTTACTTTGCGGGCCCGGCAGAGCATTTCCATCAAAATGTCTTTGGATGGCGCTAAATTGCGGTATGTGGACGAAAGCGGCTTGCCCGTGGTTGTGGCGGCCAAAGGACGCACCTTCCAAGTAGGCTCGTATCTGAGCTGTGACCTGGTCCTGGATGGGCCCCAGGTTGAGGAGGTGCTCTGCGAAATAAAATGCGACGCCTTCGGCAGGGTGAGTGGAGGGGGTGGGGGAGTGCATTGATTTGCCCTATCAACAGCATGTGCTCGTCCCCAGGTAACCATCAACAACAAATCGCGCAAGGAGCCCATCCATCTGAACGACAAGGTTGTCTATGGCAAGCGGCCGCTGCTGCATGGCGGACGCATCACCATACTCAATCAGATCTACACTTGGGAGTTTCCCAAGACCTCCGAGGCGGAGGATGTGCCGCGCACTCCGGAACGTCTGTCGCCCATCGAGCAGGCCTCCAACTCCTGTCCATCCCTGAAGGTATGTCTGTCAATTTGGAGCCTCAGCAGAGTCCGCCTCAATGCCAAGTACAGTTTCTCAAGACGCCCTTTCCCTTTGTTTGCCTTACAGTTGCATTCCCATCGGCCTCAGATCGACAAGCGTTTGACCGTGCACAAGTAAGTGAAGCCGTCTGGGAGGGCAGGCAGTCACCCAGGTAGACGACGGCCAACCCTAAAATATCCTCCATCTCTGCGTGTGTGCGAGTGTGTTTGTTTGTTGTTTGTTCCTGTGTATGTGTGCACATATTCCCTACATATGTGTATTGCCCTAGAATTTCCGCCACAATAAATAATCATCATCAATGTGTCATTTGCAGCTTTCGCTATTGCATCAATTCGGATGACGAAGGCAACACGTCGATAGAGTCGCGTGACCAAAGCGATGCCCATGTGGAGGCAGATGAGAGCCAACGCTGCAAGACTCCGCCAAATGCAGACGACGAGCCAGCAGCAACAGCTTCGGCAGCTTGTCAGACTCCGAAAGTAGATCTTCTGGATGCCACGCAAAACAAAGAGAACACAGCCACCCCACCAGCCAGTCACAAGAAGCTGCTGAAGCTCTGCGCCCTCTCCGATGTGGTCATCACCTCATTTTCCCCCCGCGAAACTGGTGTCAAGACGGAGAAGTCCTTCACATGTGTCCGCAAACCCAGCACGCCGACAATCTCCACGCCCAAGAGCGTCTACAGCACGCCGAAGAGTGTGCTATCGGAGCTGAATGAGGACAGCTGCAGTCGGGATCTGCTCGACTTCAGCACACCATCCACATCGAAGAAGGCCCGGCGGGAGACCTCCACCTCCATGTATCTCATCGACCTGACAACACCACAAAAGCTGCGTCCCACGCTCAAGCTGACGCCCATCAGTGTGTCCGACAGCGCCGATGAGTCGTCAGATGTCACGCCGCTCGTCATAGACATTACCAAATCGGATACGCCGCCATCTCCTGCTCCGTCGCACCAACTGGCCAAGACACCCAAGCGACTGGCGGCTGCGGCGACCCCCAAGCGGACGCCACAATCCCTGATGAAACGGGCTCTGCTCACGAGTACCAAAAAGCAGATTGCTGCGAATCGGGTGGAGGCAACAACACCTGTGGCCACGCCCAAGCGCCCATCTCTGTTGGAGGCGCGTCGTCAGTGCCTTACCACGCCCCGTCGCCTGCCCTTCCATCCGCAGAAACGGACCCCTGCCCAACGAGCCGCCGATCAGGAGAAAGCCAAGACACCCAGCACCTCGCCTCGGAAGCGCCCATCTCTGTTCTTTGTGAGCCCCCGGGAGAACAAACTCTCCAAGATGAGGAAGTCCCTGGCGGTGGCCAGACGCAGCCCCCATGTGGAAATGAGCAACAAGTTGGTGGCCAAGGCTCGACGCTCTCTCAGCAACTCTCCCCGAGACGGTTCCCCCAAGCCAGGGTCGACGCCTAGGATCGGGTCACCCAGGCATGGATCGCCCAAGCCAGCCCTGTCCATCACCCGATCGACGCCTCAAACGAGCGAAAGCGAGGGGAAGGCATTAAATATATCTAAAAGCAAATGCTCCACCCCAGAGAAACTTGACGATTCCGATGATAACCTGAGCCGCACTTTTACCATCAATGATCACGATGATGACGAATGCGGAGAAGAGCCAATCAAAGCGGGATCTTCAGTCGAGGCTTTTGCTGCTTTGATAACCGCAGAGATGGACGGCACTGAAGCTGTGGCCACCAAGCCCATAGAAGACAGCTTAAAGAGTCCCAGCCCAGTGGTAGCCGCTGAAGAGCCATCAGTAGATACAGGGGATGCAGTAGAGGAGACTCCTGTCATCGATGATAGCATATGTGAAGAGGTGCTCGTGGACTTGCCCGAGAAAAGCGACGAGGGTAAGTGGGGTGAAAAGGATTCTTTGATTCGATTCCTACAGTTCCTACAGCCTAAAATTCTTTTTTTTCCCTCAGGTGCAGTTGTAATTGAGGACAGCATTTGCGAGGAGGTCCCCACAGATCCGAAATCTGATGTGGAAGGTGAGTCATGAATTCTATTTGGGATCGAATCACACTCAAGCCTCGAATTTCAGCTGCAGAAGTTCCTTCAGAGTCTTCAGAGAGTCTGAAAACGAATAAACAGAACGAAGCTTCCGCTGTAGAACCCTCACCAGTTGAGCAGCCGGATATGGGAGTGGAAAAAGTAGCCCCATCTTTAAAAACACCCCTGCCTAGGAGGAGCTCGCGCCGTCTCTCCGCCGACCAGAGGATTGTGGCCACCACTCCGCGGCGCAGCACTCGTCGCGCCTCTGTCGAGGTTAAGTGCGAAAAAGATGCAATCAGCCAACGCACGCGACGCGCCTCTTTCTCATCGGCCGACACCCAGGCCTTGGCCACGCCCACGCGAAAGCGGCGCCTGACCGAGGACATGGGCACGCCAACGCGGCAGTCGAAGCGCCTTCTAAACACGCCCAAGCGGACCAATTTAGTCGATGAATCAGTCGGCGACATGGGCGCCATTGTGGAGGAAGTTGCTACAGCAGATGGTAAGCTGAAATCCAGACCAGTCTTTGGGATTATGTGTGTATATCTGAAGGGTTTGCTTTGTTACAGACGAAAGGGCAGCCGCTGAAGATGAAGATTATGGCACAGAACTGGTCACAGATGAGCCCGACCATGTGGACTATCACGGCCTGAGAGATTTGCTAAAGACGCCCAAAAACTGCAGCACGCCGCTGTTCAAGGGATTGCGGGAACTGATGCAGACACCCAAGATGCCTGCTTCGCCCATACTGGGCAACATTGAGGAGCTGCTGGAGGCCTCTGACAGCGTCTCAGACACACCCCGCAGGAGCAGGCAGAGACCACTAGCGGAAGGTGCGGAGGGCAGGGACCTCGACAAGATTCTGAAGACTCCCAGCGCCAAGAATATTATGGTACCCAATGAGCCAGCCAGTGCGGTGTTGCATTCGCGCAAGGAATCTAACAGAGACTCGGTGGTGTTGAGGTACGACCTGAGCGTTGGAGGACTCACCCTGCCCTTGGACAATATCTTTCACGATGTCCCCAGCACGTCCGCTGCACACGTGGAGGACACTGAAACCGAAATAAATGTGACCACCGTGAGCATGGCGACTGACGCCGATCCGCTGGCTGCCTACAAGCAGAACGACTCGGTCTCGTCGGAGGACCTGATGAATTTGAGTGCGGCCCCGACTTACAGCAAGACTGCGACGACCAGCACCACCTACAAAGCTGCCATCAGGGCAGACTTGGAGCTCAGCACACTGACCGAGGAGGGAGGGGAGGCGTCTAGGCCCACCTCGTCAAGCGTCAATGACATAAGCGGCATACAGCTGCTGGATCAGACCTCGGACTCAATGTTCTCAGACCCTCTGATAGTGTCTGTCTCCGGTGTTGAATCGGGCGGCGTGACCGTGGAGGAGACAAAGGTTCAGACCATCCGTCCGCCATCTGTCCCGATCCCAGGTGACGATCGCTCTGACACTGACTCAATCATTGGCATGAGCGAGCCCTTGGTGTTCAGCGATGATGAGGAGGATGCTGAACCGACAGAGACAATTGCAGAGCATGAAGTCATTCCCAAGAAGAAGGTGGGGGAAGAAATCAGCAGTAGATTCCTTGAGGAGCCCAGCGAATACGCTGCTACAGATGCAACGGACACAAATGGCAAGGATGTGCCTAGATCTGTCGAGGAATCCATGGGAGCTGACACACCAGCTGTAGACTCTTCAGTTGATGAGATTTCTTTGATTGAGGTGCAAGATATCACGGCTGAAAGCAGCATCAATGCCACCAAACCCAGCGAAACCCCAGGCAAAACTCTGACTCTGCCCAACGATTCTTCACTGGTAATTGAACTGGATTCAAGCGAAGGCACCGAACCGCCACAGGCTAAAGCAACGGATGTCTCCTCTGTCTTGGAGGCGACGACCACAGAGTCCGAGAGCTATCCTCTCGACTCTTCAATCGAGTATTCGGCCATCGAATTGAATGTCTCAAGCTGTAGCATTGCAAATGCTTCCATAAGCAGTATCAGCCAGTCATCGGCTACTCCTCCAATCGCAAGTAAGGAAATCGTACCTGGAGTATCACCCCAGGAGTTGCCAGAGGAAAGCGCAGGAGAAAAGTCAGAGGTCGAAGTCGATTCGTCGCCCAAAGAGTTGGCAGACGAAAGCACCACGGACAAGGTCACTGAAAGGACGCCTCTGGAAGAGACGTCAGAACGAAAATCACCAATCAAGCGGACACCAGAGGATACAGACGAACAGGAGAAGGTGACTTGTGAAGAATCTCCAGCTCCAAAAGGAAGTGATGATATCCCATCAGTTGAGAATAGTTTGGATATCGTTGAGCAAACGCCAGAAGCAAACAAAACGCCTGCCGAAGCATCTTTGGTTGAGGAAGGAACTGAGGAAGAGAATGTACAGGGTGTTTCGGCTGTTGTAAACGCTATTCAAGATACATTTGATTCCGAAGATCAACAGATACTAAAAACGGTCGAACGCGAAGCCGAAGAATCGCAAGCTTCAATTGCGCCTGAAACAGCTGAAGAACCGGAAAGCGAAGCGGTTCCTGCTGCTGATTCTGCAAGTGAACCAGCCAAAGAAGAAGCCCATAGTCTGGAAGATGACGCAAATGTGGTGGACGTTACACAAGAAATCAGCATAGCTGAGAATCGAAAGGAGGCTGAGACACTACCTGAGGATGGGAAAATTCATTTGGATGCATTCAGCGTTACAGAAACCGTTGACGAGTCTGTTGAAGAGTCAATCATCGATCAACCGCAAGTAGCTGAAGCAGCTTCAACCGAAGAATCTTTAATCGAAGTCGTCCCAGATGGATCCTTAGTTAAAGAGGTTCCAGATGAATCCCTAGTGGAAGAGGTTCCAGAGGAATCCTTCGTGGAAGAGGAATCTTTGATTGAAGACGTTCCAGAGGAATCTTTAGTTAAAGAGGTTCCAGAGGAATCCTTAGTGGAAGAGGTTCCAGAGGAATCCTTAGTGGAAGAGGAATCTTTGATTGAAGTCGTTCCAGAGGAATCTTTAGTTAAAGAGGTTCCAGATGAATCCTTAGTGGAAGAGGTTCCAGAGGAATCTTTAGTGAAAGAGGTTCCAGAGGAATCCTTAGTGGAAGAGGCTCCAGAGGAATCCTTAGTTGAAGACGTTCCAGAGGAATCTTTGATTGAAGTCGTCCCAGAAGAATCATTGATTGAAGAGGTTTCAGAAGAATCTTTAGTTGAAGAGGTTCCAGAGGAATCTTTGATTGAAGAGAATCAAGACGATTCCATTGCATTGGAAACAACTCTAGATGAGATTCGCTCTGAGGTTCAGCAGACCAATGGTCCCAGCCAAAAGGAGAAGGATGATGGGACCACACTGGACGTGCCTACCAATGCTGAAGCAAATGAGAAACCTGCAGCTGGCGTGGAGGTCGCCAACGCGGTTTCCGCAGAACCAAATAATCTGGATGAGTCAACTGCAGTGGATCCAACGCAGGATATAAGCTTAGCTGAGAAGATAAAGGATAGACAGACAGATGAGGTTATTCAATTGGATGCCTCAAACCGTCTTGAAGATGTTTCTACTATCGAGGAAATGCCTGAGCCTGAAGCATGTCCAGTCGAAGTATCTGCAGATAAAATGATCAAAGAGGATGCCATTCAAGAAGATGCAAAGCAAGCATTGGACACAACCAAAAACGAGAGTCCAAGTGGAGGTGAACAGAGCAATGGCCAGGACGTGGAAACTGACGAGAAACCTGCTTCCAGCGACGAATCTTTAATCGAACAGCCTGAAGAGGTTTCCATTCTGGAAGCATCAAGGGACATGGATGTCACGCAAAGGGAGGACATCCCTGAGGTCGTAAACGAAGCAGAGAGATCCCCACCGCAAGAACAAGAACCTGCTAGGGAGAACGGAAATGACGTCATCCAATTAGATGCCTCCAACAATTTTGAATATGTGGAGGAAGCCCCAGAAGCTCGCAAGCCACCAAGCGATGAACCACTTAAAGCAGCTGATGAAGAGGTCGCAGCCCAAGAAGCGAAGACATTGCCCTTGGAGGAGCCTTCAGTCCAGAGGAAATCGACAAACGAAGACAAAGTCATTACAGTCGAGGTTTCGGGCGATGCAGAAACCCGTGCACCCGTCATCGAACAGTCATTTTCTGACAAAGAATCACCTGTCCACACGACGGAGGAAGAGAAGACTGATGCGATCTCAGCTGTGGACCCAAAAGCAACACCGACAACCACAGCCGCAGCCATCGAGTTACCCAAAGAAAGCGAAACAATGTCCACATCTGATGCAGAAGTCATCCAAGAGGCAGCTACAACCAACGAAGTGGCTGCTGTTCAAGAGGATTCAACTCCAGATGAACCCAAAGTACAAGAAAAGATTGCTGTAACACCAGAGCTGAATATTCAACAAGAAACTGAAACTGAAACCGAACCTGAAGCTAAAGCCGAACTTCATGACGGATCCAGTGCAATTGCGGAAGCTCAAGAGAGCCCCCCTTCAGTTGAGGAGTCTGCAGAGGTAGTAAAGGAACTGCCACAATCATCACCAGAGAAAGAAACATCACAGACTCATTTGGAATCCTCCAAGGGACCTGTCTCTAGTGCCCCAATTGCCATCGCAGAGGAAAGCAGCCCTCTACCTGCAGTTGAGGAGCCTGTAAATCATTCATTACCAGAAAAAGAAGAGGAACGCGCAGAGATTCGCTCAGAACCCTGCAAGGAACCTGTTCCCAATGCTCCACCTCCAATTGAGGAGCCATTAGGGGAAGTAAAGGAACTCTCCCAATCATCATCAGAGAGGGAAGAGGTATCAGCAGTGATTCAATCAGACTCTTCGAAGGAACCTGTTCCCAATGTTCCAATTTCCATCGATGATGAAAGCACACCTTTATCCACCGAGGAAATTCAATCAGTTTCCTCCTCAACGTCAGAGTCTGAAGAAGTAATCGATGAGACGCCCACAAATCAATCCCTAATCGGTTTGAATGCTGAAAACATTCTGGAAAACAGACCCAGACCGTCTGCCAATACAGGTCAAAGTGCGAACGAGGAGATCCAAATAATATCAGACGATAGTCAGTCAGTGTCATCCCCAAGAGAAGAAACTTCTAGCCAAGATGATGATGAGGATGATGAGGATTCTGTGGCCATGGACATGCTGGAAGAACAAGCCGAGCCTGTGGATCTGCATGTGAATCGAAGGGAAACGACTACCAAAGTGCTCCCCTCTAATGTCCAAATGGATGACGTCGTGATTGAATTGAGCGACTCAAATTCGAGCCACGCCCCGCAGGAAAAAGTCCCGACACGAAGTGCAACACCCACAGTGGAAGCTGCCACAGAAGCACCTGCAGTCGAGCAACCTTCGTCTTCGGGTGCTCCCGCTGAGGTGGTGCAACCCAAAGGCGGCATTTCTGTTACTGATCCTGATCCTGCAAAGGAAACTGAAGTTCCAGTCACAACAACTGATGATGCACCAAGTGAGGCGGCCACAGTTGAGCCTACTCCCGGCCAAGGCGTTGAATCCCCAACTGAAATGAAATCTGCTCCAGAGGGCGGGGCCTCGATCAGTGTCGAAACGCAGGCGGCGCCTGTGGAAACTGATTCTGAACAGAACAAAAGGCAAACGTTAGCGACGGAGAAGCAGCTCGAAAGTAATTCTGAAAACGGAAATCAATCGCTTGTAGAAAAAATCTTGAAAAAAGTTGAACCAGAGACAAAAACAGAAAACCGGGAAAAGCAAGAGGCAGAGGTGGCAGCAGAAGGGGCAGCCAAGCAGGGGGCAATGAAGGTAACAAGACTAGAGCGCAAGGACGAGCACTCGCACGCTAAGGAGGAGGTACTGCCTGCCGCCAAGAGGGTAACCAGAAAGGGCTCGTCCGTGGAGAGAATTACAGAGGCCAGCGACTCGGAGAGGCCAAGGAGGCGGGGTCGCAAACCGACCGCCGAGGAACAGCCGATCCTCGAGGATAAGGAAGCCAACATGGAGACGGCCAAGAGACGGGGACGAAAGCCGTCCAAAGAAGTAGACGAAGCGAACCCAGAGCCAGAGACGTCCAAATCCAATCTGGAAAAGCCCAAGCGACGTGGACGCAAGCCATCAGCAGAGGAGGCAAAGGACAACGAAGCCAAGAACAAGGCGGAGGGGATTCTGAATGCCATCGAAGAGGAAGAGATGCCATCCGAGCAGAGTAAACAGAAGAAGGAGCTGCTACCTTTAACTACAGAAGCTCGACCTGAGACAGCGAAGCGACGTGGACGGCTTCCATCGGCGGAGAAGAATGAACCACAGAAGGCCAAAGCCCAGGAGATCGTGGCCCCCGTCAAAGAAGATCACACAGTGGACTCCGAGCTCAGGAAGCCCCCAAAGGAGGTTCTGCCTGAGACATCGAAGCGACGCGGACGACCTCCATCTGCAGAGAAGGAGGCCGCAAAGGATGATACACAGAACCCCAAAGCCCTGGGGCTTCTGGCAGCTATCAAAGAAGATCAAGCAGCTGGGGCTGGGGCTGAACCAATGAAGCCCCTAAAACGAACCCGTAAGTCCTCGGAGCGTGTAAAAACTGAACAGGCCAGCCAGCCAACAGCCACTAAAGAGGATCAGACAGATGCCCAGGCAGACAGACCCAAGCGACGTGGACGCAAGCCTTCCGTGGATGTCGAGCTGGCAGCTCCGGATGTCCTCGAGAAGCCCAGGCGACGGGGACAGAAAGCAGACGCAACAGCAGATAAAGAACCAGCATTAACGAAGCGCATTGCTTCAGCGGAGCCCGTGGATCCACATCTGGAGGAGATCACTGAGGAAATCGAGCAAGAGCCAGAGCCAAAGAAGCTGCTGCTGGACGAGGAGGAGCAAAAGACGCGTCGACGCGGACGCAAACCCACAACCGAGTCGGTGGATGTACCCGAGGAGCATGTCGAGGCAACCAGCTCCCGGCGACGCGGGCGCAAGGCGACCGTAGAAGAAGCTAAGGTCGACCAGGCGGAGCCAAAGTCAAAGCGTCACAGCGCAGAAGGTGCACCCCTGGAGGCTCCTCTTCCCGAGATCCAGGAAGCATCAACAGCCAGCGTGAAGCCAGCACGACGAGGTCGCAAACCAAGCGTGGATGTGGATCTGGCAGAGAAGAAAAAGCCAACGCGAGCTGTCCGGAAACCATCGGCGAGTATCGACGAGGGGACACCCCAAGCCAAAAAGACAACGGCGCGACGAGGACGCAAAGCCTCCGCCAAGGAAGAAGGCATCGATGCGCAGCTCACTAACCAAGAAGCTCCCACAGGAATCGTTCCGACCGTCACTGCCACCGCTTTGGGCTCCCCAGAGAAACCCAACGATGGGGTGTACTCCTCGCCCTCCCACACCGAGGATGAGCTGACACCACGACGACGCGAAGGACGGAATATTCCGCGGAAGAACTACACAGAAGTCCCCGACGATGACAAGCCTAGCTCTGGATCACGACGCAACCGCAAGCCGGTGACCACTGGCAAGGCAGCAGCCAATACGCCCGTGGTGGAGGAGACTCCCACAACGCCAACACCCTCTCAAAAGGGTCCACCGACCGAGGAGCCAGCCACAGCCACCCCGACCACCCCGGAGATACCCACGGTGACTCTGCCGGACCCCACAACTTCGAAGAGGCGTGAGGGACGCAATCTGCCGCGGAAGAACTACACAGAAGCCCCCGACGATGACAAGCCGACCCCGTCCCGCAGCCGGCGCCAGAGGAATCCGACAGTCAAGGCCCTGGAGCTGATTGTAGACACCACGCCCAGACCAGCCACGCCCAGGCGACGCAAGGGCAAGGCAGGCGCTGAGGAGCCGCACGAGGAGGAGCCTCCAGTGAAGAAGGCGGTCACAGAAGTTGCAGAGGATGCACCAGCGGTGGCAACGACCGCCGCTGTTAAAGGACGTGGCACCCGTCGCAAGGCCGAGGATGTGGCCGAAGCAGAGTCTGCAGAGATGGAGGAGGCGGAGCCCAAGGCAGCGGCCAGGAAGAATGCGCGTGGCAACGCACGCAAAGCCAAAGTCGGGACTGAGCCAGACCCAGAGGCTCAGCCGGTCGCCAAGAAAGCACGTGGTGGAGCCCGTGCCAAGACCCCAGTGGTGATGATTTCCGACGGGGAGCAGCCGGAGCCTACAAAGGAGCCGGTGGTGGCTGTGGCCGCCAAGAAACCAGCAGGCCGTGGACGCGGAAGAGCTGCCAAGGCAGCCCCAATTGTCGAACCAGAGGCAGAGCAGCCAGCTCCGTCAACGGAAGCCGCTGCCCCATCAGCCCCGACGGCACGCAGTGGCCGTGCCAAGAAGGTTCACTTCGAGGCCACTCCGGCCGTGGCAGAGCCAGCCTCCAGCAACGACGAGGCGCCCAAGAGAGCCACACGCTCCCGCCGCAAATAAGGAACTGGTTTTCATTTGCCATCTTGCACTTAACCCAATTGTTTTATATATAAATATTCTCTATCGTACAATTTTTGTTATGCTTTCACACACTTTACGAACTTCTGTATAATATAAAATTTCATACATTCATACATCTATCGACAGCTCGATTATGCATGGTTATCTCTAAGCTCTATCGTTAATACTACGTACATATATCCTATCCCCTGTCAGCCCCGCAAAAGGTTCCCATCCCCTTGCTCAGAAATGTAAAACCCTAATAGACTTAGGCATACCATATACACAAATATACATATACATACATACATATATATAGTAAGACATCCCCAAATAATAAAGAAAACTGAAATGAAACTTATGGTCTAATCTACAGTTGGTGTTTCCTTCTAGTGCTAGTAATGGTGTTGGGTTGCTCATTGGTGACTAAACTATACATACGTATAGCTGTTGTTTGTGAGCCACTCAACAACAAACCACTGAGTAACACTTAATGGTAATTCTCTGTAATATTCGATCATTGCACTGACCACCTTGATCAGGAATCAGTGAGCATATGCAAGCATTGCCATTGACGAACCCTTTTTCCAAATTCTCAGAAAACAATCACATCGCACACTTATAGTACATACAGTGCCAGACTTGAGTCTTCAGACTTCAGTTCATTGATGATTTAAGAGTTTTTCATCGAGAATTTCAAAAGAAAAATAATTGTATCACATAAATGAAGTGGCTAGAATACGATTGGCTATAATCGTAATTTTATTAAATTATTTTGTAAATTTTTTGAAACGAAAAAAAGGTCTCAAATTGGGAATACGTGAAGGTTTGATGGTGTTTGGCGTTGCGCCTGTGGTCGTTCTGATGAAGATCAAACTAATATGTGGGAATGACGTAAATATATGAATGAAATATGAATAAAGCTCTGTTAACAATGACCGCCGATAAAAATGAAAAACACAAGCCATTAAGTTAGCAGGCAGTGGGACATTTTTGATTTGAGGATCCTTTTGAAAACAAGGACATATGGGCTCAAAGTTTAAGTGTTTCGTTAGCTATTTACACATATTGTTTATTTAGTTTAATGAGCTTTTTTCTTAAGACATAACAAAACATTATTAAACAAAACATCCCTTCATTTTTTTAATTTTTCGTACTTTTCCTCTGTAGTTCGCCGGATAGTAAGTAATAAGTAGTAAGTGTGGGCTAAGTAAAAGAGTATTCTAGTGATGATTTTTCTTTTAAAGCAAAGATATTGACGTCACGTTTTCTTCGAGAATGTTCCCGGCTAAACAAGATGGCGGCCCCGCAACACGTTCCACACAGATTGACCGAAAAAAGTCATTTGTGGCTGTTTTTATACCCGTACTCAAAAAAGAGTTAAGGGGTATATTAGATTTGTGGTAAAAGTGGATGTGTGTAACGCAGAGAAGGAAACGTTTCCGACCCCATAAAGTATATATATTCTTGATCAGCATCAAAAGCCGAGTCGATATAGCCATGTCTGTCTGTCTGTCTGTCTGTCTCGATGAGCGCCTAGATCTCAGAGACTATAATAGCTAGGGCAACCAAATTTGGTTTCCAGACTCATGTGATATCCCACTGCTACAAGTGTATTTCCAAATTTCCCCCCGCCCCCTTCCGCCCCCACAAAGAACGAAAATCTGTGGCAGGCACATTTTTAAAGATACGATAAAACGAAAAACGCAGTATCGTAGAGAATGCCCATATCTACCAGACTGCTGAATCTGAATCAGATCGGATCATAATTATAGACAGAATGACGAAATTAATTTTCAGTTGCTTCCCCTGCCCCTCCTGCCAACGACAACGAAACTAATTTTCCTTCTCGCTCGCACACTCTGCCGCGTTCAGTGCGCGAGCAACCCCCAGCGTAGGATATGTAGAATATGAATGGTACATCTATAATGTTAGATGTATAATATACATTGTATATGTAGATGTAGATATCAGATGTAGCAAAAAAATGTAATATGTAAAATGTTTTTTTTAATGCTAAAATTCTAAAAAATCATATGTTCAAAAATGTAAATACTGACTGAGTACGGGTATAAGTAGAGTCGCTTCCCAGAAGCGACTCACACGTTCCTTCTCGTTTAATATGTCGTAGTGGAAAGAAGAACCACAAGGAGTTTATTTGTCTTTTTATCGAGTTTACACAATTTTTTATAAGTTTTCTTAAGTATTTTGAGCTTTTTCAGTAGAGTTTCCGAACCACGCCAAATCTGTACCGTACAGGGTTGCCACCGAACTGGTTAAACATAACCAAAATATAAATAACATAAAAATAACCTTGATTGTTTGCCCACGCGATTAATTAATTGTCTATAGGAAAGATATCGTGGTCCTCCTTGAAACCTGGGCACTCCATTCATTCGTTAATGGTTCAAGTTTTAATTATCAGAATTCAACCCTACTTCAATCCCACTTCTGAGTGCATGGGTAGAAATATCGTATAACCTGTGAGGACTTTTTGACAGATCAAATATCGTAAACCTGATATAAATTTCATAGTTGCAACATTTGTCGAACAGATTTTTATTAATTCGCATCTCGTTTAAGTCTTGCTCGTCTCCCAAAAAATGTCTTCGGAAGGCGCTAAATTTCCGTATGTGGGCGAAAGCGTCCAACGTTTTCCGCCAAATGCAGACGACGGGCCAGTAGCAACAGCTTCAAAAGCTACTCAGACTAAGAAAGTAGATCTTCTGGATGCCACGCAAAACAAAGAGAACACAGCAACCCCACCAGCCAGTCACAAGAAGCTACTGAAGCTCTGCGCCCTCTCCGATGTGGTCATCACCTCCTTTTCCCCCCGCGAAACAGGTGTCAAGACGGAGAAGTCCTTCACATGTGTCCGCAAACCCAGCACGCCGACAATCTCCACGACCAAGAGCGTGCTATCAGAGCTGAATGGGGATCTGAACAGCTGCAGTCGGGATCTGCTCGACTTCAGCACACCATCTACATCGAAGAAGGTCCGGCGGGAGACCTCCACCTCCATGTATCTCATTGACCTGACAACACCACAAAAGCTGCGTCCCCCGCTCAAGCTGACGCCCATCACTGTGTCCGGCAGCGCCGATGAATCGTCAGATGCCTCGCCGCTCGTCAAACCGAACCGTACCAAATCGGATACGCCGCCATCTTCAGCTCCGTCGCACCAAGTGGCCAAGCGGACGCCACAATCCCTGATGAAACAGGCTCTGCTCACGAGTCCCGAAAAGCAGATTGCTGCCAATAGCGTGGAGGCAACAACACCTGTGGCCACGCCCAAGCGTCCATCTCTGTTGATGGCGCGTCGTAAGTTCCTTAAGCCAGTTCGTCTGCCCTTCCATCCACAGAAACGGACCCCTGCCCAAGTAGCCGCCGATAATGAGAAAGCCAAGAGCAAGTGCCCATCTCTGTTCTTTCTCAGTCCCCGGAAGTTCAAAGCCTTCCAGATGAGAAAGCAGATGGCTAAGGATCGACGCTCCCTCAGCAACTCTACCGGGGACGGTTCCCCCAAGCCAGGGTCAGAAACGCAAGGGGATCTTTCTTTAGTTGAGGAGCTTGTAGAGGTAGTGAAGGAACTGCCTCAATCATCACCAAAGAAAGAAGAGGTATCACCAGAGAGTCAATCAGACTCTTCTCAGCAACCTGTTCCCAATGCTCCCATTTCCACCGTTGAGGAAAGCACATCCTTATGCACCGAGATTATTCAATCGATTCAATCTGGATCGCGACGCAACCGCAATCCGGCGACCAGTGTCAAGACAGCAGCCAATACGTCCGAGGCGGAGGCGTCTCCCACAACGCCAGCCACAGCCACCCCGACCGCCCCGGAGATACCCACGGTGACTCTGCCGGACCCCACAACTTCGCAGAGGCGTGAGGGACGCAATCTGCCGCGGAAGAACTACACAGAAGCCCCCGACGATGACAAGCCGACCCCGTCCCGCAGCTGGCACCAGAGGAATCCGACAGTCAAGGCCCTGGAGCTGATTGTGGACACCACGCCCAGACCAGCCACGCCCAGGCGTCGCAAGGGCAAGGCCGGCGCTGAGGAGCCGCACGAGGAAGAGCCTCCAGTGAAGATGGCGGTCACAGAAGTTGCAGAGGATGCACCAGCGGTGGCAACGACCGCCGCTGTTAAAGGACGTGGCACCCGTCGCAAGCCCGACGATGTGGCCGAAGCAGAGTCTGCAGAGATGGAGGAGGCGGAGCCCAAGGCAGCGGCCAGGAAGAATGCGCGTGGCAACGCACGCAAAGCCAAAGTCGGGACTGAGCCAGACCCAGAGGCTCAGCCGGTCGCCAAAAAAGCACGTGGCGGAGCCCGTGCCAAGACCCCAGTGGTGAAGATTTCAGACGGGAAGCAGCCGGAGCCTACAAAGGGGCCGGTGGGAGCTGTGACCGCCAAGAAACCAGCAGGCCGTGGACGCGGACGAACTGCCAAGGCAGCCCCAATTGTCGAACCAGAGGCAGAGCAGCCAGCTCCGTCAACGGAAGCCGCTGCCCCATCAGCCCCGAAGGCACGTAAGAAGGTTCACTTGGCGGATACTCCGGACGTGGCAGAATCTGCTCCCAGCAGCGATAAGGCACCCAAGAGAGCCCCATGTTCCCGCCGCAAATGAGGAAATTTAATTGAACTTTATAGGGAACAATTTGCCTTCTTGCATTTTGTCAATTTATTGTATACATAAATAAATATTCTGTATCGTACAATTTTGGTTATGATTTCACACACACCTATCGACAACTCGATGCATGGCTATCTGCAAGCTAAAGAATGTCCCCATTCAAACATGAGTCAGCAGGCATGTGTTGCGCAAATCCATTGAACGGCTTGCTCATCGGTATGCATCCAGATTCAAAACCTTTCCTGAAGTCCAGTTGCACACTGAACTGAAGTTTCCAAATGACATCGTTCGGAGCAGCAGAAACAACAGTTCACAATAATGCGGCAAATGGGTGGCCAGGTCAGATAGTAGTAACTAAAATGTAAACAAAACTTTGGTCTAATCTACAATTATCAGTGATCAGTAATCAGTAATCAATTATCAGTTATCATATTTTAGAGTTCTGGTGAACGCCTTTGATACATTCCTTATTTCAGCTGTAGTGGGTCCAAGGATCTTATTCTTGAATCGTTGTTGTACACAGTCGCCTTCGTCTTAAACTGACTCTGGAGAACCTTTCGCTATCCTTTGTCGGCCGCTGTGCTGAGCAAAATACATGACCAATAATAAACTGTAAATCTACATAGTACACATATATGTACATATATTTAAACCAAAGAACACCATTGACCATATTAGCCTTACTAAGCTAAACATTTCGGCTACTGATAGTCAAAATGCTTACTAGCTTTTGGTATAGTCGTATGGGTAATGCTCGTTGGAACACAATTTGTTTGCTCTCCCTCGGATTAGACGTAAGAAACTTAATTGTACATATTTGTAGTCGGGACTTGGTCTTAGACAAGTTATTCTTTTGGGATCTGCATAACAATAGGAGCATTTGTGAAAAAGTTGGCAAATGTTCGGCATTATAGAAAACCTGCGCGTGTATGTGTGCACATATACAAATTTTGAGAACATATTAGCCGGGTATAGTATACGAGAATATAGACATAATTAAATAAAATATATAAAAAACGAGAAGGAACGTGTGAGTCGCTTCTGGAGACGCGACTCTACTTATACCCGTACTCAGTCAGCATATACATTTTTGAGCATATAATTATTTAGAATTAAAAAAAAAACAAAATTTTACATTTTTTTGCTACATCTGTTATCTACATCTACATATTCCATGTATATTCTACATCTAACATGTATATTCTACATGTACCATTTAGATTCTACATCTCCTCCGCTAGGGGTTGCTCGCGCACTGAACGCGGCAGAGAAAGAGAATGAACAGCGTGTCTCTGGCTGGGGAGGCGGGGAAAGCAACAGAAAATTACATTTCTTCATTCTGGCTATAATTATGATCCGATCTGATTCAGATTTGGCAATCTGGTAGATATGGGCATTCTCTACGATACTGCGTTTTTCGTTTTATCGTATCTTTAAAAATGTGCCTGCCACAGATTTTCGTTCTTTGTGGGGGCGGAAGGGGGCGGGGGGAAATTCTGAAATACACTTGTAGCAGTGTGATATCACATAAGTCTGGAAACCAAATTTGGTTTCGCTAGCTCTTATAGTCTCTGAGATCCAGGCGCTTATCGAGACGGACAGACGGACGGACGGACGGACAGACAGACATGGCTATATCGACTCGGCTATTGATACTGATCAAGAATATATATACTTTATGGGGTCGGAAAATTGTCCTTCTCTGCGTTACACACATCCACTTTAACCACAAATCTAATAAACCTGTTCGGCTAAGCGCCGGCCCATGGCAGCACAATGAGCAAAGAGACCATATGTAACATCTCTTAAAAGTAACGTCTCTCTTTATTACTGTTTTGTTTGCTTTGCTTATGCTCTGTCTGGTGCTTTGCTCTCTGTCGGCGTTCGACAGCCGCTGTGGGGGAGGCTCGTCAGAGAAAGCAGAAGACACTTCAGATTCGATCATCACCGTCGTTAAACGTTTTGCTGTCTGGCACAGTGACCTGCCTGCCACAGAGTTCTAAACTAAACCTTACATAAATCTAACAACTTCAACAGTCTTGAACCGGCCCCCGCGTCTTCAATCGACCCATCGTTAACTCTCGTTATCAAATCCGCACACCTTTCGCTAGTTTTGGATAAAACATATATATTAACTTAAGTACAATAAACTGTGAATACATTAACTGAACAATCATCGCCTTTTTAATAATATCGCAATACAACGCTACTGAAGAAGCTCAGTAGCTGACCTTTGCGCTAGTTTTAAAAAAAGAAGGGAAAAAAAAAAAAAAAAAAAAAAAAAAAAAAAAAAAATTGGGAAGGGTTGGGCAAGCAACAGAAACGGTTCTCGATTTGCGGTCTGCTTGCTTGCTGCTGTTTCGTTTCGGTTTCGTGCTCTCAGTGTGCATGCCTTTGTTGTTGTCGGATGCACAAGTTTAGTGCGTTTCAAACTGTTAGCTCACGCTGCTGATCTGTAAAACTGCAAGACCGTGTGTTTCTGACCCTGCGATCGATTGTACAGTTCATGTAAAACTGCTCGAGGTTAATCACCCGGTGTAACCTTCACCGCTCCCCAGTGACTCTAAACCCAGCTTTCTACTGAGCATACACGATGGCTTCTAATGCGCCCCTTCAATCTCCCCCCCCTCACCTTTGTTCGTCGATTCGGAAGCTGCATTCAACAAGCGCAAGGTGCAATCCATGGTAGGAGCAGCACGGAGAATGGAAACTGCCGTCGGCAAGGAGAGGATTGGGGAACTCAGTGAGGAGGAGTTAAATGTGCGACTAAAGTTGCTAGCGGATCTGGTCGCTTCGTTCAACGAGCACCATAATGCCCTGGAGAGGATTGATCTCGATGAGATTGGCAGTCCCTTGAGGGAGGAGTTTGACGAATGCGTGGTCATGCTGGAAATTCGTATGAAGCGCGAGTTGAACAAGCGGCAGCCCACAATGCTCCCATGCTCAACAATGCGGACGGATCATGTTGGAGAGGCCCCAGCTACAGTCATAGTGCAGAGTCGGCCTCGCCTGCCGGAATTAAAGCTTCCCGAATTCAGCGGGGGCTACGCGAAATATGCTGCGTTTTGGGGCATGTTTGCCTCCATAATTGACAAGGATTCTGACCTAACGAATGTGGAGAAGCTGCAGCACCTACGATCCTGGCTGAAAGGACCTGCTCTAGACACAATCTCTTCGCTAGAATTCAGCCACGCCAGCTATCCCATCGCCCTGAGACCTTCTTAATAAACGATTCAATAACAAGCGTTTAATATTTCAGGCACATGTCACCGACATTTTGGGTGTGCAGCGTATTGAGACCTCGTCTGTGTCCCAGCTCCGGTCATTGTCAGATACTGTAAATGCCAATCTGCGGGCCTTGCAGAGTATGGGGACAAAGGACCAGATAGCTGACTGCATTCTGATACATATCCTGCTACAGAAAGTGGACAGCGCCACACAAGCCAAGTGGGAGGAATGCTCGTCAATGGATAGCATACCCACAAGCCAGCAATTTACCGCTTTTCTGGAGCAGAGATGCCAGAGGTTGGAGACTCAGGAGCACGCTAAGGAAATGTACACTAATAGCAATCGGAAACACTGCCTAGTTGCAACTACCTTCAAGCCGATTGCCTGCGCGCTCTGCGGCGACACCGGACATTCGATATATCGATGTTCTCAATTCAGCAACCTTTCTCCTCGACTTCGGCTCCAGGAAGCTAATAAGCTATCCCTATGCACCAACTGCCTCCGATCAGGCCATCAGCAAGGTGAATGTCGGTCACGATCCTGCCGAGTATGTGGTGCTAAGCATCACACACTACTTCATTTCGAGTCTTCGTCCTACACTTCTCAAGCCATTCTGCCTCAACTCGTCAAATCAACATCGACTCTACGAATTCCCGCGATACCCTCTGTCGCTGAACATGCCGTAACATCGTCAGCCACGTCGCTCTTGGCCCAGAGTCATCGACGGGACGCTGTGATTTTGCCCACTGCCATAATCAGCGTAAGGAGTCGCTCCGGGATGTTGATTCCTTGCCGTGCCCTGCTCGATTCTGGATCGCAGGTGCATTTCGTCACTTCTCGTCTGGCTCAACAGTTGCAGCTACAGAAGAAAGAGTCGGAAGTTTCCGTTTCTGGTCTAGGCGATTCGTGTGCCATATCCGAAGGATGCTGCGTCGATATCCAACTGGAATCATACGCGTCCAACTATGCCGCGACCATTACGGCACTTATTGCTCCAACCATTACGGGTAACCAACCCAACGGTATCCACGACATTAATCGCTGGAACATGCCCTCCAACATACCTCTGGCGGATCAGAAGTTTCACCAGCCCCAGCCAGTTGATATTCTGATTGGAGCGGCTCTGTTCTTCGAGCTTCTATGCCCTGGCAATATCAAGTTGGGAACTGGACTGCCACGTCTTTAGGAGACCAAACTGGGATGGATAGTTGCAGGAGAGGTTTCTCCGTCTCTCAAGGCAGCTCCACTTTTTGCTTCTCTATTTTCAGGTAGCTCATCTGAAGTGGCCCCTCGCTCGACCCAGCATAGGGTCAGAAATAAAGTCCGGAGTAGCGGTACTGAAGACGGTGCTGAAGACAACAACAGTGCTGCAAAATAAGGACGTTAAAGATCCGTGCTCTTCAACGGGGGGAGTATGTTCGGCTAAGCGCCGGCCCATGGCAGCACAATGAGCAAAGAGACCATATGTAACATCTCTTAAAAGTAACGTCTCTCTTTATTACTGTTTTGTTTGCTTTGCTTATGCTCTGTCTGGTGCTTTGCTCTCTGTCGGCGTTCGACAGCCGCTGTGGGGGAGGCTCGTCAGAGAAAGCAGAAGACACTTCAGATTCGATCATCACCGTCGTTAAACGTTTTGCTGTCTGGCACAGTGACCTGCCTGCCACAGAGTTCTAAACTAAACCTTACATAAATCTAACAACTTCAACAGTCTTGAACCGGCCCCCGCGTCTTCAATCGACCCATCGTTAACTCTCGTTATCAAATCCGCACACCTTTCGCTAGTTTTGGATAAAACATATATATTAACTTAAGTACAATAAACTGTGAATACATTAACTGAACAATCATCGCCTTTTTAATAATATCGCAATACAACGCTACTGAAGAAGCTCAGTAGCTCAACAATACCCCTTAACTCTTTTTTGAGTACGGGTATAAAAAGCATCCGCTACATACAATAAATAAAGCACAAGACCTAATCAAACATAAATATACAAATAGCTTCAATCTCACTGGTACTGGTACGGGTACGGGTACTGGTACTGGTACACAACGGGTAATACTTTCTAAAGCTTCTACGGATGCAGAACGCGTACAAAAAACGCATCATATAAACACATATCAAGTGTGGGTGACTGAACGTGGACACTAAAAACGAATTACTCTTAAGAAATAAGTGTAGCGCAGCTAAATGCAAACAGTTTCTCTTTGTGTGCGCTCCTGTCTGAGTTGTGTTCGTTTGAGTTCGTTGGTTTCCCCGCTGGTGAATGCAACTCCTTAGGCCTTCATCAGAAGATGCGGCTCGGAGCGCAGCGAGTCGGTCAGATATTGTATCTTCATGGTCTTCTGAAAATAGCGCTTCTCGTTGGGTGAATTCACCATGTAGACGATTGGACGGACGCCCACATTGCGCCACAGGTCGGCAATGTGCCTGCCAAAGGAACATAAAACATTAAAGAGTACTCCATAATCTCCATAGTCACAATGAGTGGCTTACAAATTGAACTCTTCCTTGCTGAGAAAGACGACGCTTATGCCGATCACTGGGGCAATGATATTGCGAAAGATTGCACCATAGATTGAGGTAATCAGTGTGGAGGATTTGAGCATGGCCAGCGATAGATAAGTCTCATGCCACAGGCCGCAAATTATCTCCGGATGCAGTTTACGCAGCTTCAAAAGAGAACAGACATCAGAAGCATCCTTGGAGAGGGTAGGGAGCATCCTCCTCTATGCATAGAGTGCATTCCATACCTGATAAATAGCCAGCGGAGAGCGACTTATGACAATTGTGCGCTGTGTAAACGGCTCATTGGCGGCCATAAACTTATGCAGCTGGTCGAGCATGCGGGCACTGTTGTCGTGAAGGCGCAGGAAGAGCGTGGCCGAGGTTGGCCTCCGCCTCCACATAGTCGGCGAGCTGCCTGAGCGTGGCCATCGACTCTGCCTCGAATTGGTTTGGCGTTGCGCCTGTGTTCGTTCTGATGAAGATCAAACTAATATGTGGAGATGACGTAAATATATGAAAGAAATATGATTAAAGCTCTGTTAACAATGACCGCCGATAAAAATGAAAAACACAAGCCATTAAGTTAGCAGGCAGTGGGAAATTTTTGATTTGAGGATCCTTTTGAAAACAAGGACATATGGGCTCAAAGTTTAAGTGTTTCGTTAGCTATTTACACATATTGTTTATTTAGTTTAATGAGCTTTTTTCTTAAGACATAACAAAACATTATTAAACAAAACATCCCTTCATTTTTTTAATTTTTCGTACTTTTCCTCTCTAGTTCGCCGGATAGTAAGTAATAAGTAGTAAGTGTGGGCTAAGTAAAAGAGTATTCTAGTGATGATTTTTCTTTTAAAGCAAAGATATTGACGTCACGTTTTCTTCGAGAATGTTCCCGGCTAAACAAGATGGCGGCCCCGCAACACGTTCCACACAGATTGACCGAAAAAAGTCAATTGTGGCTGTTTTTTTTAATATGGCGTAGTGGACAGAAGAACCACAAGGAGTTTATTTGTCTTTTTATCGAGTTTACACAATTTTTTATGAGTTTTCTTAAACAATTTTGGGCTTTTTCAGTAGAGTTTCCGAACCACGCCAAATCTGTACCGTACAGGGTTGCCACCGAACTGGTTAAACATAACCAAAATATAAATAACATAAAAATAACCTTGATTGTTTGCCCACGCGATTAATTAATGTCTATAGGAAAGATATCGTGGTCCTCCTTGAAACCTGGGCGCTCCATTCTTTCGTTAATTGTTCAAGTTTTAATTATCAGAATTCAACCCTACTTCAATCCCACTTCTGAGTACATGGGTAGAAATATCGTATAACCTGTGAGGACTTTTTGACAGATCAAATATCGTAAACCTGATATAAATTTCATAGTTGCAACATTTGTCGAACAGATTTTTATTAATTCGCATCTCGTTTAAGTCTTGCTCGTCTCCCAAAAAATGTCTTCGGAAGGCGCTAAATTTCCGTATGTGGGCGAAAGCGTCCAACGTTTTCCGCCAAATGCAGACGACGGGCCAGTAGCAACAGCTTCAAAAGCTACTCAGACTAAGAAAGTAGATCTTCTGGATGCCACGCAAAACAAAGAGAACACAGCAACCCCACCAGCCAGTCACAAGAAGCTGCTGAAGCTCTGCGCCCTCTCCGATGTGGTCATCACCTCCTTTTCCCCCCGCGAAACAGGTGTCAAGACGGAGAAGTCCTTCACATGTGTCCGCAAACCCAGCACGCCGACAATCTCCACGAGCAAGAGCGTGCTATCAGAGCTGAATGGGGATCTGAACAGCTGCAGTCGGGATCTGCTCGACTTCAGCACACCATCTACATCGAAGAAGGTCCGGCGGGAGACCTCCACCTCCATGTATCTCATTGACCTGACACCACAAAAGCTGCGTCCCACGCTCAAGCTGACGCCCATCAGTGTGTCCGGCAGCGCCGATGAATCGTCAGATGCCTCGCCGCTCGTCAAACCGAACCGTACCAAATCGGATACGCCGCCATCTTCAGCTCCGTCGCACCAAGTGGCCAAGCGGACGCCACAATCCCTGATGAAACAGGCTCTGCTCACGAGTCCCGAAAAGCAGATTGCTGCCAATAGCGTGGAGGCAACAACACCTGTGGCCACGCCCAAGCGTCCATCTCTGTTGATGGCGCGTCGTAAGTTCCTTAAGCCAGTTCGTCTGCCCTTCCATCCACAGAAACGGACCCCTGCCCAAGTAGCCGCCGATAATGAGAAAGCCAAGAGCAAGTGCCCATCTCTGTTCTTTCTCAGTCCCCGGAAGTTCAAAGCCTTCCAGATGAGAAAGCAGATGGCTAAGGATCGACGCTCCCTCAGCAACTCTACCGGGGACGGTTCCCCCAAGCCAGGGTCAGAAACGCAAGGGGATCTTTCTTTAGTTGAGGAGCTTGTAGAGGTAGTGAAGGAACTGCCTCAATCATCACCAAAGAAAGAAGAGGTATCACCAGAGAGTCAATCAGACTCTTCTCAGCAACCTGTTCCCAATGCTCCCATTTCCACCGTTGAGGAAAGCACATCCTTATGCACCGAGATTATTCAATCGATTCAATCTGGATCGCGACGCAACCGCAATCCGGCGACCAGTGTCAAGACAGCAGCCAATACGTCCGAGGCGGAGGCGTCTCCCACAACGCCAGCCACAGCCACCCCGACCACCCCGGAGATACCCACGGTGACTCTGCCGGACCCCACAACTTCGCAGAGGCGTGAGGGACGCAATCTGCCGCGGAAGAGCTACACAGAAGCCCCCGACGATGACAAGCCGACCCCGTCCCGCAGCTGGCGCCAGAGGAATCCGACAGGTCGCAAGGGCAAGGCCGGCGCTGAGGAGCCGCACGAGGAAGAGCCTCCAGTGAAGAAGGCGGTCACAGAAGTTGCAGAGGATGCACCAGCCGTGGCAACGACCGCCGCTGTTAAAGGACGTGGCACCCGTCGCAAGGCCGAGGATGTGGCCGAAGCAGAGTCTGCAGAGATGGAGGAGGCGGAGCCCAAGGCAGCGGCCAGGAAGAATGCGCGTGGCAACGCACGCAAAGCCAAAGTTGGGACTGAGCCAGACCCAGAGGCTCAGCCGGTCGCTAAGAAAGCACGTGGCGGAGCCCGTGCCAAGACCCCATTGGCGAAGATTTCCGACGGGAAGCAGCCGGAGCCTACAAAGGAGCCGGTGGGAGCTGTGACCGCCAAGAAACCAGCAGGCCGTGGACGCGGACGAGCTGCCAAGGCAGCCCCAATTGTCGAACCAGAGGCAGAGCAGCCAGCTCCGTCAACGGAAGCCGCTGCCCCATCAGCCCCGAAGGCACGTAAGAAGGTTCACTTGGCGGATACTCCGGACGTGGCAGAATCTGCTCCCAGCAGCGATAAGGCACCCAAGAGAGCCCCATGTTCCCGCCGCAAATGAGGAAATTTAATAGAACTTTATAGGGAACAATTGGCCTTCTTGCATTTTGTCAATTTCTTGTATACATAAATAAATATTCTGTATCGTACAATTTTTGTTATGATTTCACACACATCTATCGACAACTCGATGCATGGCTATCTGCAAGCTAAAGAATGTCCCCATTCAAACATGAGTCAGCAGGCTTGTGTTGCGCAAATCCATTGAACGGCTTGCTCATCGGTATGCATCCAGATTCAAAACCTTTCCTGAAGTCCAGTTGCACACTGAACTGAAGTTTCCAAATGACATCGTTCGGAGCAGCAGAAACAACAGTTCACAATAATGCGGCAAATGGGTGGCCAGGTCAGATAGTAGTAACTAAAATGTAAACAAAACTTTGGTCTAATCTACAATTATCAGTGATCACATGGGTAATCAGTAATCAATTATCAGTTATCATATTTTAGAGTTCTGGTGAACGCCTTTGATACATTCCTTATTTCAGCTGTAGTGGGTCCAAGGATCTTATTCTTGAATCGTTGTTGTACACAGTCGCCTTCGTCTTAAACTGACTCTGGAGAACCTTTCGCTATCCTTTGTCGGCCGCTGTGCTGAGCAAAATACATGACCAATAATAAACTGTAAATCTACATAGTACACATATATGTACATATACTTAAACCAAAGAACACCATTGACCATATTAGCCTTACTAAGCTAAACATTTCGGCTACTGATAGTCAAAATGCTTACTAGCTTACCCAGTGCATCTATGAGAAAACTTTTAGAGTGGATTTTTGAGTTTAAATCAATTGTTCGCATTATCTTTATTTACTCATCGTATCATCGCATCGTAATAAAATGAAATTTGCATCATTGTTTTTTGGTATAGTCGTATGGGTAATGCTCGTTGGAACACAATTTGTTTGCTCTCCCTCGGATTAGACGTAAGAAACTTAATTGTACATATTTGTAGTCGGGACTTGGTCTTAGACAAGTTATTCTTTTGGGATCTGCATAACAATAGGAACATTTGTGAAAAAGTTGGCAAATGTTCGGCATTATAGAAAACCTGCGCGTGTATGTGTGCACACTACATATATATGTATGTATAGAGCACTCAAAAAAAGCAATACACTACCTTGTAAGGTATACTACATTTGTGTACATATCGAGAGCATGGGTAGAAATATCGTACAAATTTTTAGAACATATTAGCCGGGTATAGTATACGAGAATATAGACATAATTAAATAAAATATATATAAAATTATACAGGACGTCAATGTAAAATATAAAAAGCATCCGCTACATACAATAAATAAAGCACAAGACCTAATCAAACATAAATATACAAATAGCTTCAATCTCACTGGTACTGGTACGGGTACGGGTACTGGTACTGGTACACAACGGGTAATACTTTCTAAAGCTTCTACGGATGCAGAACGCGTACAAAAAACGCATCATATAAACACATATCAAGTGTGGGTGACTGAACGTGGACACTAAAAACGAATTACTCTTAAGAAATAAGTGTAGCGCAGCTAAATGCAAACAGTTTCTCTTTGTGTGCGCTCCTGTCTGAGTTGTGTTCGTTTGAGTTCGTTGGTTTCCCCGCTGGTGAATGCAACTCCTTAGGCCTTCATCAGAAGATGCGGCTCGGAGCGCAGCGAGTCGGTCAGATATTGTATCTTCATGGTCTTCTGAAAATAGCGCTTCTCGTTGGGTGAATTCACCATGTAGACGATTGGACGGACGCCCACATTGCGCCACAGGTCGGCAATGTGCCTGCCAAAGGAACATAAAACATTAAAGAGTACTCCATAATCTCCATAGTCACAATGAATGGCTTACAAATTGAACTCTTCCTTGCTCAGAAAGACGACGCTTATGCCGATCACTGGGGCAATGATATTGCGAAAGATTGCACCATAGATTGAGGTAATCAGTGTGGAGGATTTGAGCATGGCCAGCGATAGATAAGTCTCATGCCAAAGGCCGCAAATTATCTCCGGATGCAGTTTACGCAGCTTCAAAAGAGAACAGACATCAGAAGCATCCTTGGAGAGGGTAGGGAGCATCCTCCTCTATGCATAGAGTGCATTCCATACCTGATAAATAGCCAGCGGAGAGCGACTTATGACAATTGTGCGCTGTGTAAACGGCTCATTGGCGGCCATAAACTTATGCAGCTGGTCGAGCATGCGGGCACTGTTGTCGTGAAGGCGCAGGAAGAGCGTGGCCGAGGTGGCCTCCGCCTCCACATAGTCGGCGAGCTGCCTGAGCGTGGCCACCGACTCTGCTTCGAATTGGGACCTGTGTATTGACTTTTGAGTTAAACGAATTTCCACTTGATTTGCCTCAGGCTCATGTCTCACCCCATGGGATGCTGCTCCGTGATGTTCAGTTTCTGCAGCTCGCTCAACGGCTGCTGGGCCACAGCCAGGCGACTGGGGTTGGCTATAACGATTTCCCCGCAGGATGTGAGGCCGGCATCTAGAAGCACGTTCCGATATCCACGTGTTAGGCACTGAAAATGGGGGATGTTATTGATTTTTACTGGGGTAAGGGCCGGCGAAGCAACCACCGCCTCATGACGTCACCTTTTTGATAGCTGCCTTCGAGTTCTCGGGCGCATCGTAGCCGGCAGCCCGATTGGCGATGGGCCAGTAGCTTGGCCAATCATCTGGCGCGCTCAGCAGGCTGAGCAGCCGCTTCTCGTTGGGACTGCGCTGCAGCTTCACAAACTTGGAGGCCACACAGACGACGAGCAGGGTCAGGGTGCCCCAGGGTATAGCCAAGTTGCAGAACAACCAGAACACGTTGAAGCAGAAGAAGATCAAGCTCACCGAGCAGCACAGCAGCTGGTAGATCATCTTAAGGCAGAGCCACAACCAGCGCCAGTACATTCAGCAGAGGGAACTGTTGAAAGATTGCACTTAAGTGTCTGTTTGGGGTCTATTTTTACCTCTTGTATTTGTTAATTTCTTTGATTTCTTCTGTGTCTTCTGTATTGTGCATTTGCACCGCACTCACCCTAAATAGAATGCGTGCCGCCACCGTCACCACAACACACCACACCACCCGCTGCTGCTGTTGCCACTCCCACGCCTGTTTTTCCTAGGATATCACTGCCACTGCACCACTGTTTACTCAGCGTTTAATTTAAGAGCTAGCCCTCGATTTAGATTCGGTTAAAACTTGTTTTTGTAACGGGCAGTGCCTTAAATACCCGTCGAAAAATAAACTAAATAAAACGAATAATTTTCTCAGTCTATCGTTAATGCGCTCATCTGCCTATCGCACTTGAACAGCTGCTGGCCCTTTGCTAGAGATGGCACTTTTGATGAGTTTAGCGCGTACATTCAAAAGAGAACTTTTATCTTTTCGCGCATGTATATACTTTATTTATGGAGATTTACAATTTGGTGAGCAGACGTATCCAACGGCGTACAGTGGGGTGGCCCAAACGAGTGTACACACCGGGATAATAGGGATCCGCACAGCTGACCCCCCAGGAAACGATGCCAATCAGGGTGCCCTGGGCACTGATGGGACCTCCGCTGTCGCCTTGACAGGCATCCGTGTTCTTGGCGGCCGCACAGAACATTCTAGACGAGATGGCGGGTCATTAACTAGATAATTAATTAATCTCTCTGTCTATACTTACGCTTCGGTGACGCCGCCGTGATTTTTTAAGGCTTCGTGGCACTTTTCCTGATTAACCGTCTGCACAGTGGTGCTCATGAGGACCGGCGCCAGGACGGGATTGATGATATCCATGTGTCCCCAGCCGGAGACGACAGCGGACATGCCCTCCGGGATAGCCTCGCCGACAGCTGGCAGGCGGATAGGGGTCGTGGAGAGGGCTCCGACGGCTGTCCGCAGCAGAGCCACATCGAAGTTCATGTCCGTCCGATCGTACGAGGGATGCTTGTAGATGGTCTGCACGGGCTGGACGGAGCCGCCTGTTGTGCGCAGGACAGTGCCCTGGCGCAGGGTGAACTCGCGGGGACTCTTCTCGTGGTTGTCAATGCAGTGGGCCGCCGTTATGGCCCAGTTGCTGGCGAGGATGGAGGCACCGCAGATGTGGATGGTGTGGCGCCGCAGCGAGAGCTGATAAGGGAACTCCCCCTCCCCGGCCTCACGCCCATTGACAATGCGGCTATCCGGCAGCCTCTGGGGCGTCGTCGCCGCATCAACGTTGAAAAGGGCTAAAATAATCCCGACGACGAGAAATGAAAGAAGCTTCTGCATGGCGCTGCTGACTCTCGAAAACTAAACATTATTGCAAGCCCATGAGTCGATATATTTGCTGTCTTTTATCAATATCATTCGTTATCTCAGGGGTGTACATGGTTTCTGTAGAAGCTGTATCTGTAATTAACCCATGTCGCCCGCTGAGCAGGGGCATGGGCATGCATGGGTTTTTTTGGTTCTGATATCTATGAGATTCGGTGATTTTATTATTGTTTACAGCGGGGGATGGCAATGAACTTCCGTTTCAGCTTGGGGGAAACATTGGGTTGGCTGATTAACAACTGGGAATACTGATGGGTTTTCAAGGCGTTTCAATTTGTCATTGCTTTTATAAGCTACAGCATTTTCAATTTTTAAATTTGTTCTAGCCGTTGCCTGCTTGTTACACTATCGGTATTTTGATGCGTTTCTTTAGAAAGATATCGATGTTTGGCTGTCGGTATCGTATGTGTTACATGACGCTACCTCGTTGTGCCAACACACCCTGCTCACACAGCAACATAACATAGCAATGATGAGCAACATTATACAGGTAGCAACATGCTACCTCGGAAAAGAATATTATAGAACTGAGGAAATGTTTGTCATCTCCGGCTTCAGTTAATGCAGAAAGTAGTCAGTCTCTGTTTTTTAAGCTATGTGTTTAAATGACGTATTTCATTACGTTTCACTAGCTAATCTTGTAAAAAATGGATGTATCTATCGGATAAAATTATATTAGATATCGGTGGTCATTTTTTGTTTTGTAAGTAAAGAGGAGGATGGCGCTACAAGGAGCCTTTACAAAAAGTATTATTTTCCGCGGTTTAAAAAAGGGTGCTCAACTTTTTAAATAGAGGGGTGTTAGGGGCCGAATTGCCCTGGTTTTTCTGCCCTGGCTTATGCCCGGGAAATATCCTACATTCAAAGGATCTGGAAGTACCCTAGACAAATTACGAGGAGCAGCAGCAGGCCATGAAGTTGGATTCATTCGTTTTTGTTTTTTGCAGCGCCTTTGATGAGAGCTTCAACTATGAAAAGAAGTGAGCGAGGCATCCCTAAGACTCGAGATTTTCTCTGTTGTCTCGATTTCTTTTCAGATTCTGGGCCCACCTGTGCGAGATTCCTCAAGATTAACATAGCTGCACACAAGGCTGATCCAGCCATTTGGGCATCTCAATGCACCAGCAACGGCTTGTCGATTCCACTCTCGCCCTTGGGGAGGAGGGACGTGGAACACCGATGCGTCCATAGCCAAGATTATGTCACATCAGCATGCGACTTCAGCCCTGCCCACAGTCCACGCACGGATATGCCTATGCGCGGTATTTATTATGACAATAAATAGTAAATTTGTTGCTTGTGCCGGGTGCGTGTACGTTACAACCGAAGGGTTATTTAAAAACAAATTTAAGGATTAGAAAATTGTATAAATAGTTAAAAACGGTTGGCTGAACTATACTGGGTTCGGTATACTAGTCAAAAATTTGTGTGTTCCTCAAGTATTTTTTGAACAGTTTATTCGCATGTGCTATTTCTATACATTTATTTATTATTAATGGATTACTTTATTCTTACATATGTGGGAAGCAACATGCACATACATAACATTAAACAGCAAGCGCCCTATAATACAGATTGTTGCTTCTTTCCTCGGTTTCATTTCATTCATTGCTAGGGCAGCGAAATAGTACTCGTATGTTCCTTTTCATCGGTCACTTGTTGATTTTGAACACTTGACCGTGCAGAGCCTGTTTCTCAGGCGGGCCCTTCATCATGCAATTGCCCTGGTTTTGGCTGCGATCAGGTGTTGAAAGCATTCTGTTCGATGTACGATTTAAAGTTTAAATTTTAGCTGTGTTAACTTTTAAAATCTGGATCTTATGAATACGGCGCTCGAATCGTGTCCAAAAATATTCACAAATTTAATATAACGCTCATTCACTTTCGAAGGTATAGCACCAATAAGACGGTGGGATTCTTACTTACTCCCCAAAAAGAATGTGTTCTTCGCTCTGGTCTTGAAGCAGGAGTGACACGCGATCAACGCAGTATGATGAGCATACCATCGGCTGCCTCCTGACGCGAGGCACTCCAGGTATTGCATTGCTTGATGCCCTCTCCAATATCTAGGGATGTGTCTGGATCTACGGTCTGGTAGACATGGTCATTCTCTACGATACTGCGTTTTAAGTTTTATCGTATCTTTAAAATTGTGCCTGCCACAGATTTTCGTCCTTTGTGGAGGCGGAAGGGGGCGGGGCGAAATTTTGAAATACACTTGTAGCAGTCTGATATCACATGAGTCTGGAAACTAGCTCTTATATTCTCTGAGATCCAGGCGTCAAACAAGACGGACAGACAGACATGGCTCTATCGACTCGGCTATTGATGCTGATCAAGAATATATATACTTTATGGGGTCGGAAACGATTCCTTCTCTGCGTTACACACATCCACTTTTACCACAAATCTAATAACTCTTAACTTAACTTAACTCTTTTTGAGTACGGGTATAAAAACCAAATGTCCACATTTTTTAGTTGTTCTCGACAGATAAATTGTATCGATGCTCAGGGTTGCAATTTAACATATGGCATTAAATAATTATAAAACATAAGTTATTAATATGTAGGCACATTTGCAATACTAATAAATAAATATATCATAAAGTTGCTGCACTTTAATAATTTGCTCAACTTATTATTTTCTAAATTGTTTCATTTTAAAATTGGCAATTGTTCGCGCTCAATATAAAAAGGGGTGAGTTTCGATTCCTATCAGAGTCCGATCAGAGCTATTGGAATTTTCTACAAGCCGTTGAATATTTTTAAGTGAGTGTTTTGTCAACAACTAAATTAGTATATAAAAATATACATAAATTACACTCTTTCAAGAATTAAAAATGGAACCAATTTGGTAAGTCAATTTTCGCATTTTTTCATTTTTGCAACACGCATGCATGTGCGTGTATTTTTGTGTTTTTCTATTCTCCTTCTATCCTTCATAGTTATCTCCGTCCCCGCCCTGTCATTCAAATTGGGTAGGACATTTCAATGCAGGTGCTTTTGGGACAGAAACAAATGTATGCTGCAAACGATTAGTTCGCATAAATTCCGCCAGGGAAAGTTCCGTTCGGTGTTTCCTAATATGTCGTTTGGGAGCGCTTTCGTGTTTTCAAATTATGCCGATGGGAGGAATAACAACAAAAATTGCCCTCTTTTGGCTGCCTTAAAAGTTGATCTCTTCATAATTGACTGCAGTAAAATTTAGATAATTTGAAATTATTAATAAAAAATTATATTTTTACTTTATTATTAATTGCATATAATTATTAGAACATATTTTCAGGAAATCGAGCATATATGCATATAGTCAATACGAGTGCAGAGTTATTGCTCAGTTCTTTTAATAAATAAAAACTTTAATAACTATTTTTCCATTCCAGCAAATGTCACCCCTGCAGTGTAGCAAACTGCGATGGCGACAAGGCATCTTTCCTGTTCCCCAGCCTCCCAGAGGTCAATAAGAAATGGCTTGCTAATTTACAAATTAAAGAAGCTACGTTACGCTCCAGAGTATGCGCAAATATAATTAATATTTTTAAAAATTTTATTTTTTATATTTTTATTAATTTTAATAATAATTTAAATTATTTTAAACTGCACTAAAATTTTACTAATTATATTTTTCTTCAATTTTTATATTTAGGATATAGGCCTTTGTATGAGCTTTCGCTCACCAAAAGGCAAACAAAAGCAAAAGATTGTCATTGTCAATAGACAATGTTGAAAATGAGGATTAATTAATAGACAATATAATCAACAATAACCAAGATCAAGCTATAGATAGTATAGATATGATCAGGGAAATATCTTTTCCGGTACAATCCGACTTTGTATCTCTACAAAAGAAATACGAAGCTCTAAATGAGAAATATTTATCTCAAGAAAAAGAAATTAAATATTTGTTGCACAAAGCAACAGATCTAAATCATGAAAATGAACAAAAAATAAATGATTTCGAGAAAGAAATCTCTCAACTTAAGCCAACGGTCCCGAACAGAGTTCATGAAGATCAATTAATAGACAATATAATAAACAATAGCCAAGATCAAGCTATGGATAATATAGATATGATCAGGGAAATATCTTTTCCGGTAGACTCCGACTTTGTATCTCTACAAAAGATATACGAAGCTCTAAATGAGAAATATTTATCTCAAGAAAAATAAATGAAATATTTGTTGCACAAAGCAACAGTTCTAAATCATGAAAATTAACAAAAAATAAATGATCTCGAGAAAGAAATCTCTCAACTTAAGCCAACGGTCCCGAACAGAGTTCATGAAGATGTTTCACTGCCGCTCCCATTCGAGCCAGGCTTTCAGGGCAAACACATCGACAAGTTGCAGAAATTTGTTGAAGAAATGAATGACTCACGAAAATTGTGCGCTACTTTTTGATGAAATGTTGATCCATCCTAAACTTGAGTATCTGCCTCTGGCTGATCGAGCTGTTGGCTGTATAGATCTGGGAGACGGTATTTCCGATAAGGAACAATACTCCTCCCAAGCAACCGGAATGTTAGCATTCATGGTACGAGGGCTGGTTAATGATTATAGTCATTTTGTTACTGCAGTTTTTGTTAACAAAAATGTAAATCATCATTACCCCGAAGCCTTTATAAAGGCAGTTAACTGTTTCAGATCAGTCGGCTTAAATGTCCAAGCTGTGGCTTGCGATCAGTCATCGGTTAATACCACTGATCTAAATAAAATAAACTTAGACAATTTACTAAATGCGCCAAGACCTCAATTCGTATGTGATTACATACATTTGTTCAAGAGTGTTAGAAATAACTTCTTGTCACATGACCTGATAACACCAGACGGTAAAGCGTCATGGAAAATCATTGTTTTACGAAGTCGATTAATCAAACTTATTTCGTTTGGCACCAAAGCTGACGGAAAAACATATCAATCCGATAGGATATGATAAAATTAATACTTTATTGGCCGTTAATGTATTTGCCAATGC